TCTGAAATTCAGCCCAATTTGCAGACTGTCCCTCCTGTCCTAATTAGAGAATGCAAGGGCCACTCTCGAGACTTCAGGGGCTTACAGGTGCTTCTGGCATTTTATACGCTGGATCTGCAAAGCAATTTCTTTCATTGTGGGAAGACCATTTCGGACTGCTGTATACACAGGAAGTATTGCTGCACCCAGAGAGGGAACGAGACTGTGACACTCATCTGCTCCCCTCCGGGCCTCCTGTGTCAGGCTCTGAATTACAAAACCGATTAAGTATCTGAAACCAAGCATAGCTCCTGGATATGACTGAATTTCAGCACAGGTTATTCAGAACAATTTAGACTGAGGGGTACCTGTTTTGGCTTCCTTATTCACCTATATCAACAAGCATGCTAAGGTTCCTGAGGATTGGGGCCTAGCTTTGGTGATTCCAATCTCCAAAAAAGAAAGAGAGATCTACCTGCCAATTATTGCCCTATTAGCCTTCTTAGTGCAGTAAGGAAACTTCATGCCAGACACCTGTATTACAAAGTTTAGGACAGGGTTGTAACTGAGAATATTTTGGCATGTAGAGAACGTGGCTCAGACACTGACCATGCTTTAACCCTTCAACATCTGGTCGAGAAATACTCCTCTGGAATATGCTCATTACTCTGTGCGGCATTCATTGACCTTAGATGTGCTTCTGACCTTATCGCCACATCTAAACTCTGGGAGAAATTGAACTCTTCTTCAAGTGATAAAAGATTGCTCATGCTTATTTACAAATTACAGTGGTACCTTTGCACACGAACTTAATCCGTTCCACAACTCTGGTTGTGACTCAAATTGGTTTTGACCCAAGTCAAATTTCCCCATAAGGTTCAATGTAAATAAGATTAATCCGTTCTGTAACTATTTTTTTAATCAGAAAAAATTGAAATAAAGTGACAAAGAACAACAAAGTGACAAAAAACAGCAAAGTAACAAAGTATTGTAGAGTACAGTGGAGAACACTAACCTAGTATTGTTTTGAGGGAGAGTCCCCCTCCATAAGGACACTAGGGAGATCTCTTTCAGGGGTTTCCTCTCTCCTTTGTCTCTTAGCTGCAGGGTCAATTTTGGTGAAAAATCTGTCTATAGTCACCTGTTTTTTCCTGCGCTGCATAACCCTCCGGAAATGAGAGACCGCGTTATTGTTCCTCAGGTTCAACACTCTATTCGTTACAGTTATGTTGGGGTGGTGCTACTCAAAGAGATCCTGGCACTCATTCATTTTTTCATAATGGATTGTATCACATCCCTGCTAACCTCCTGCCCGCTTCCTCTTCCGCAGTGGAATCCTCCTCAGCGAGTGCCTTGTGCTGCTCACTCTGGAGTTCAGCAAGTTCTTCTGTCGTCAGCTCCTCCATGTCTTCCCTGAATGAACACGACTGCAATCGCGGCCATCTCCCCACTCGGGGGGTGGGGGGAGATGGCCGCGATCTTGGTCGCCCCCAAAGCGGAGTTCGCAACCCAAGTCAAAATTTTCATGAAATTTTTGTACGTGACCCGATTGGGTTGTGAACCAAGGCGTTCGTGAGCCAAGGTACCACTGTATATGAAAATTCTCAGTTGCCCAAGGACAGTGCACTAAAGAAATTCCAGTTAAGAGGGGAGTGAAACAAGGATGTATATTTTTAATGCTTTTTAATATATGCATCAGTTCTCTTATTCATAAACTGAACAATCCTCTTCACCCACTGAAATTGGGAAATAGACACATCTCTGTTCTTTTGTATGCAGATGATACTGTGCTGCTTTCTTAAACACAGATTGGCCTGAAATGGGCATTTCACGGACTAGCTGAGCATTGCCAAGAAGAAAGCCTAGAAATTAACTACTCTAAAACCAAAGTTGTAGTTTTTGCGGTGCCCTAAGACACATGTTTGGCGATTAAATAACCATCTAATAGAGCAAGTTAAATCCTTCAAATACCCTGGGGTTATCTTCCATGCTATGGGTAACCATAAATCTCATGCCAACTACATCATCTTAAATGCACAAAAACCAGTGTCGGCTGTACAAACCTTTGATTTCTCCAAAGAAGCCCAGCATATACCCACAGCGATTAAAGTCTTCTCAGCTAAAATATGAGCCCAGCTCCTCTTTGGAGCTCAGCTGGGACCCTAAAGGTCATTCCTTCTTTCGGAAAGCATTCAGTCCAAGTTCTTGAGAACCATCTTTCAAGAACCTCACTGTCTCTCGAATTTGGTCCTTCAAGGTGAAGCTGGCCTTAAAATCGAAACATAAGCTTGGGTCTACATCTTCTCCTACTGGCTCAAGCTCTCCTTCTTTCCAGTTTGTTTGGTCTCTTTAATTATGACCCACAGTTTCCAGAGCTCCTGGAGCCAAGCAGTACAGGTGGAATTACAAGGTTATTCATGGCCAGCAATCATCTTGATGGGCAATGAACGGGCGTTAGCAGAACTTAAACAGCAGGCCACTGGTCTGGAGCCGCAATCAGATTGTCCAATTCTATCTCGAAACACCTCCTTGAACCATTCAGTGCATCTTCTCCAACCAGCCAGGTATCTCAGTGGCGTAATGATCCCGAAATTTAGATGGGCTTTATCCTTAGCTAGATTCAATGCCCCCCCAACAGCTGTTGCTGAAGGGAGATATAAAAAATCCCCTTTGAACAGAGACTGTGCCCATGTGGAGAGAGATAATTGAATCGCTGGAGCAAGTTATTCTCTATTGCCCTCTCTATGCAGGTACAGACCAGGAATTGTTTGTTATTTAGAGTGTTTATATGTCATTCCATTGCATCACCTCAGGACGGCTTACATAAATAAGAAAAAAATAAAATAAAACATAAATAAAATCCAGATCCACCCTGGAAATCCAGATCCACCCTGGATTATTCCCACTCATTATTATTGCCACTCATTTCTAAATATTTAGAAATATTCCCACTCATTACTCCCACTCATTTCTAAACATCCTGGTCATTCCTATCTTTTTTATCTTAAGATGCCTTTATCTGATCAATCTGATTTTATTTCTTTGACCACAGCCAAGTACTGTCCACTGTGGAATCGACTCTAAATATTCTTAGCCTTTTATTAGAATAACTGCATTTTTCCTTAAGACCCTGATGTTGGGAACGATTGAAGGCAAAAGGAGAAGGGGACAGCAGAGGTTGAGGTGGCTGAGTGGGGTCACTGGAGAGGTGGGTGTGGGGTTGGGTGGACTCCAGGGGATGGTGGAGGACAGGAGAACCTGGAGGAATGTTGTCCATGGGCTTGTGAAGACTCAGGCAGAACTTTGCAACTGAACAATTTTCCCTTATCTTAATTAATGCTAATTTTAGAATTCCTGCATTTTCCCAATCTTAACTTATTGCACTTTTGTGTTTTATTTGCTGGTCAACAACCAAATAAAGAATTGATGGATTGATTGTGCAGCCCAAGAAGGCAAATGTAGGTTGTTAAAAGGAAGGTTGAAATCCAGGACCAAGCTGACTTTCTCTGAAATGTTTCCTGCGGCAAGTGCAGCGCCAGTTAAACAAACACACCTGGGGAGTCTTGCGCCATGGAAGAGAAGAGAAGGCTTCCTATTTGTTAGGCACTGGGGAATATTTTGGGGAAATCCAGTCCTCTACGAGAGGGGTGGGCTCCACTTGAACCAAAGTGGAACCAGATGGCTGATCCATAACATAAAAAAGGCAGGAGAGCAATTTTTAAACTGAAGTCTGGGGGAATCTGCTTCAGAGGCTTTCTGTACAGGGCTGTTTGTTGTTTGTTCTTCTGCTGTACCCTTTGCTTTCACGCCCAGATTTGGGAACATGGTCCCCCTGTATTTTTATTTAGAGTATAGTCAATATTTCTAAATGTGCACCCTCTACCTCAACATTTGCACATGCAAATATTATGCAGATCGGTGCCCTCTTTTGTCTTTTTCCTGTTGGTGGCACATGGTCTTGTTTTTTTTTTTGGCAGTGGGCAAATGGCCCTGCCCTCAGATACATCTGCGTTTCCTTCGAGCTTCTTGACTCCCTGCTTCTCTTTTCACTGAACAAACCACTTGGCTAGCAGGCCCTGCTCTTGTCTTTTCTTTGATCCCTAGAGCAGGCCAGAGGATCAAAAGAATTTCAGAACCTGGCATCAGCTGTTCGATTTTCATTACTCCTTTTAAATGGAAGTTGCGTTCACCAGTTGGTCTTTAAGCAGCTGTGTTGTAACTGTCTTTGGGGAATGGGATACGAAAGGCAGGCTAGAAAGATGGCCAGAAATATGAATAAGTGACAAGGCATAAGCCTTGATTTAGCCCATAAAACCTCACTACATGACTTATTATTATTTTATTTTATTTTTTATTTAGAAAATTTCTATGCCGCCCCATTCGCCGAAGCCTTGGGGCGGCTCACAAAACATCAATTAAAATATAATACACTAAAAATATAAAACGAATTAACAATGCTTTGTTAACGAGTTAACAATTCGACTTGGAAAGCATCTTACTCTGCAACCATAGATGCAGTCATACCCATCTCTTGTTAGATTTCTCCATTTTTAATGCAATCTCCAAATCTTACTCTCGGTATTCCTGTTGAGATCAGCGTCCCTAAACATGCAGGGCCCCCTCTTTGAACTGGCAGCTCCAAGGCCTGAAACGGGAGCTGTGTGCCCACAGAAAATAAGCTGTCCCTCCTGGTTTCCCCCAGAGCTGATCTCCATCTCTGATTCTCAATGGCTCAGCGATTCTGTGTCCTGCCTACCTTCCCAGGCTGGCACGCCAATCCCAGCTCAAAGAAACAGTGCACACTTGGTTCTCTGAGTGCCAGGCAGCAAGCTGCTGCTATCAATTGCTCCGAAAGCCCCCAGTGCTCAATTCACACAAGGCGTTCCATTCATCGGAAACAGACCAGCTGGCTGTCATTCCCCCGGGTTTCTTCTTCATGCAGATCCAATCTGAAGGCGCCCACTCCCTCGCCAATCCTGGCAGTGCAGGCTTTTGGTCATGCGATGCTCTTTCCCTGGTTATTTAAAGGCCACTGAGACTCCTTTAGCTGAGTCACAGAGCTGAGGCTGCAGGAGAACGGACCTGGCGCACCGGGCCCTGGCAGGGCTGCATCATGGAGCATGTGAGTCTTAGGTTCTCAGTTGTTGCTGCGGATCTTAGAATGCTGGCAGGTGAACGCTGGAAGGCTCAGAAGCGTGCTAACGAACGCACAAACAGTGCTGCCCGGCTTGCAGTTTTGAAGTCAAGTGTTCCCCAGCCATTGCAGTCCCTAAATTTTGTTTTTGTTGTGTTGCGGCATTGTTAAACCTTCATGCTTTTGCTGGCTTTTACTCTGGTTTCACTCAGTTTTAGAAGTTTCATATCATGCCTTGATGGTTGTATATCAGGATTTTACTATCTGTGAAATGCCTGGAGAACACTGACTTCTGCATGTTTCACAACCTGCGTTCCTCTTTTCTTTTCTTTTCTTTTCTTTCTTTTTTGCAGCTTCTATTTTCTTGTTATTGCCAATATTTCAATATTTCATGTTATTTTCCAGTTACTTCAGGTGCCTGTCAGTGATGGGGTGCAGCATTATAAACTTCAGAGCACCAAATAGACACGTGATGCTTTCCAGCCTAAATTAAGAAAAAGCAGGTTCTAATCAAAAGACTGCCTATGAGGGAAGCAAGGGTCATGACAGGGTGACTGTCTGGAACTACACTTTGCACGCTTGAACTCTGACCAGGGATAGAAGTTTGGGGGTTCATTAAGGGCTCTCTAGAACTACTGGGATCGAGGAAGTCTCTGGTGCATGCATGCCTGCATTGTGATGCAAAGTTTATTTATATTAATTACTGTATCTCTTGGCTGCATGTAACAGAGCTCCTGGAAGCAGTGCTTTCTCTAATCTGGGAGCCCTGCAAGAGCTGCCTTTCGGGGCTGAAATCTGAGGCTGTTACTGGGAATAACAAGCCAGGGAAAGCAGAAACTCTTAGCCTGGAGATGCAGTGCAATTCACACTCCTGACTGCAAAAGCAGGCAACTTGGGGGTCGAAACTTCCTGCCTGTGTGTTTTAACTCCCATTACAATGAAAGAACTGGCAATGTTTCAACAGAAAATAGATGCTGCCTTGAACAAACCCATCCTATTCTAGTCTTTCCAATACTTCAAAATGATTCCAGCTGCTTGAACATCTACCTGGCTCAACTGTTGCTTCTCCTTTGGGTGCCACAACTGAAAAGGCCCTCATTCTTGTAGCTGTTCATCCAAAGTCTCTGGAGGAGGGTGTCTGTGGGGGACCTAAGGGTCCAAACAGCTGCTTATGGGAGTAGATAAGTTTGGGTGGGCCATATGGAGCCCCTGCCATTGCCCTGGTATAAACCCTGCAGTTCCCTGCAGAAATTGGCAGCAGCAAAAAACTCACCCCTTCGCCACCACAATTCAACAGTAAACCCCTACCAAGAGTTCCAGTGAGCAAATTGGGCATGTTTTCAAACTGCATTTGACTGTGGCAGCATCACCTTCCGTGTTGCCAGCAAAAATCAGTGGTAAATCAGTAAGTACTTTTTTTCCCCTTCTGTTGCATTGCCCAGTTTTTCAGGGTAACAGCAGCTACGGGGTGCAGCCAGCGTGGGGTCTAAATGCCTGTAAGCCCCCCCCCCCTTCATTCAGTACTCTGCTCCTCATCTATTTGGACTTAAGAGGGAGGCAACAACGCTTGAGCAGTGCTGGGGAGCCAGAGAGGCTGGTAAAGAACGGCATTGCGGGGCCATAACAGCCCCTGAGTGCGCCTCTGAGCCGTGCTCTTTGGAAGCCTCTCAAAGTACCACAGGTGGGATGCCACCACCTTCCCTGGCCATGCTCCTCACACCTGAAGACTCACCTGTCAGTGCACCACAACCTGCAGGTCGCAGTCTTGCAGCCTTCTCCCTGGAAGCAGCCGCCTTAAGCAAGGACCGCTCTGCAGCATCCAGGAGGGCGTCCTTCCCCAAGCCCTCCCTGAATGCACATCTGGCTAAGTTTGTGTGTTAGCAGTTTTGACGGCATATTGCTTTTAATTTGGTTTTCGTGCTTTCATTAATGCTTTAAATTGCCCTTTAATGTATATAATAATGTATTTAATGATTTTTTTTAGCTGAGAGATACCTTAAACTAGGATAGGATATAATCCTAGTTAGTCAATGTTTTTTCTTTGTATGGAAATAGGAGGTGAGAAAAGCATCACCAGTTGTTAAAGTTAGACTGAACTTATGAAAACAAATCTGACAGAGAGAGCAATGAGGATGCCTCTTTCATTATCCACCTCGTGAAAATAGTTGTGGCTGGAAAGTTTTCCATTATACATGGGAATGCAGACAATATAGAAGCACAGTGCCATAGCACTTTTAAATCTAAGTGAAATATTTTATTTAGTGTGGTTAGAGTACTGGGTTCTAGATCAGGAGATCCAGGTTCAAATTCTCACTCAGCTCACTAGATAACTTTGGGCAAATTACTGACACTCAGCCCAGCCAACCTCAAAGGGCTGTTGTGGGAATAAAATGGAATACGGATAATAAGATAATAGTTCTTTGCAAGAAGAAAAACGTGGGATATAAATGCAGTGTAGTAATAGTAATATTAGTGATAATGTCAAACAAGGAACCAATTTAGCAGCAATAGAACTTTTAACATTAAGAATATCTGTAATACTTTGGACTTGTGACTTGTAAACCGTTTATATAATCCCTGTTCTGCTATCAATAAACAGAAATATGGGCTTAAAACAAATAAGCATGCAAAACATTAAAGAAAAACTACTTAAACCTATTTATATATCAGAAACAAAAACTTTATGATATAAAAATTGAACCCCTTCTCAGTGAACTGATTAGAAAGAAACACACACTAAAAACACCATGACCTAAAAGCTTCCAGGGTGGCAAAGGTCCAGGTGGGAATGATACAGAGAACCACAAAACTTCCAAAGCATCTGTCCGCATGCACAGTCAGTCATTCTTCAGGAACAGGAACATAGAAGCAGAGCGAGTCAGAAGGGGACTCGGGGGCCATCTAGTCTGACCCTCAGCTTCAGCCGCTCTGCTCATGACATGCCCACCATGTGTGTGTCAACAGCCTCGTATACGCAGTCTGGAGACATCCTGGTCAAAATGCCACTGAGAACTAAATAGGAATAATCCAGGGAGCCCCAAAACGATGAACGCATCCGTTGGTCAAAGAGCCACCACCACTTTCCTTCAGGATTTACAGGTTGGGAGCGTAACCCTTCCATCACCATCATCCAAGACCCCTATGCCCTGAGGCATCATCCACAACCTGGCTGCTTCACAAGGCTGCCATGGGGAGACGAGCTCAGAGCTGCCTTGGGTTCCTCACAAGAGGAGAAAGGGTGGGATATAAGTACAAATGAACAACAACAACAACAACAGTTGTCCTGCCATCGCAGCTGTGTAGAACATTGGGTTTCTGCTCCCGCAGGGACTGACTGTCACTCATGTGAACCTCCAACCTGGACAAAGTGTGGAAGTGAAGGGGACGATTCTGCCGAGCTGCACCGGGTGAGTGGCGCAGGAGGCCAGAGCGCCCTGGCAGATGGGCACCGTTGTCCTTTGTTTCAGGTCCCACAGAGCGGTGATGCATTGCTGCTCTTCAGCTCTCAGCCTGGCATCTTGGGACTGGCAGTGCATGTGCCCACATCTTTGGCAGGGGAGAAGTTTCAGGGGGTCCTTTACTTCCACCCTCCGGATGTGGGGGACTGCAATGCCTGTAATTCCCAGACAGTAGCCCTTCTAGCTGGGGATCATGGGAGCTGTGGTCGCAAGCAGGTGGTGGGCACCAGGTTGGAAATGCCAGGTCTCTGTGCTTTGCTCTGCCATCGCCTCGCCTGGCAACTTGGCCGAGGGCTGGCCAGGAAAGGCTGGGCAGTCCTTCCGATCCCACCACGCCTCCCGGTCTGCGGCAAAGGGCCACTTCGTGTCACGATCTCGGTTTGCTCTCACCCTCTCAGCTTCGAGGTGAATCTGGGCAAAGACTGTGACAACCTGATCCTTCACTTCAATCCCCGCTTTAATTGCAAGGGGGACATGAACACCATTGTGTGCAACTCCAAGCGAGACGGTGTGTGGGGAGAAGAGGAGAGAGAAACCAAATTCCCCTTTGAGCAAGGCGGCAAGTTTCAGGTGAGGGGTTAGCCGGGGGCCAATTTGGCACAGGGGGGCAGAGCGGGGATGGCGGGGGCTGCTCTGGGAAACTCCTGTCTCGTTCATTTCCTTTTTCACTTGTTCCCTTTCTGTGCTGCCCAGCGCCAGGCTTCCTGGCAGTTCGCAAAAGCAAGAATCCAAAAATGGCAGATCATGGAAACATTAGGTAGAACCGAGCCTTCCCAGGACCAAACATACAGAATTATAAAATGATTTGCAGCAGTTCGTATGTGGGACCTGACGTGAAACGCTCGCATGCAGCTGTGCCAGATGCTTGGGAATAAAGCTGGTTTTAAAGCTGGGGCACGTGGGGAAGATGCGTGGTTAGGACTGACAGCTCTCTGCCAGTGTGGCGTAGTGGTTAAGAGCATGGGACTGGGACTCAGCGGATCTGGGTTCTAGTCCCCGCTCGGCTATGGAGCCAACTGGGTGACTCTGGGCCAGTCACAGACTCTCAGCCCAACCTACCTCACAGGGTTGTTGTTGTGGGGAGAAGATGGAGGAGGAGAATGATGTAAGCTGCCTTGAGCCCTTTGTAGGAAAAAGGCAGGATATAAATTGAATAAAAAAAAAAATCAGGTATCTCCACCTATTCTAATGGCCTGGCCATCCATTCATTCTGCCTACCGACTACCCTGGCCCTCCACCAAACAAAGCCAGTTTGCCCAGTGCCACGAACAGCGCCTTACTGGTGGCCGCAACTGCCAAGCTACCTTAAACGCAGGTTGTGTCCCTCCGGGATTCACAGCCTGTCTTTGGCTTGATGCGGCTACAGGTGGAAATGTGGCTACAGGCTGACCCCGGCCTTGGGTGTCTGAAAAGAGGGGCAGCTACGCCTGGTCCTTGGGCTTCGATGCGCCACAACCCCGCAGGACCTCGTCCATCCGCAGAGGGTCGCCCGCCCGGGGCCCTGCCGCTGCCACCCCTACTTGTCCACCCCGTCTTCTCCCCCACCGCCGCTGTCGGCCCCCAACCTGCTGCCTCCTTGTCCTCCGCTCTCCTTCCCTTCCTCTTTCACCCTGATCTCCGGCACCCTCCCTGCTGGCCACCACCAGTCGCTGTACTGGTCCAGTGGGGGCAGGTGGCCCCAGACCACCTCACCAGAATGCCTTGCATGAGGAAGGACCCCTCAGCAAGGCATTTGGGCCCCACCGAGCAAGCTGCGTGGAGTCGCTTTTCTGCCACGCATTTGCCCCAGTAGCATCGCTTCCCAGAGTGTCTCCCTGTCTTCGAGCCGGGCAGCTCGCGGGGTGCCCTGCAGGAAAAGAAGGCCCAGCATGGCTCTCCAGAGTGCCGGGGGGCCAGTACCCCACTCTGAGGATCCCTTGGAGCCGGTCCTCCCAGAAGTGGAGAGACCAGGCACCCCACCACCTTGAGGGGGATCTTTGCTGCACCCAGAAATTAGCACCTGTTCACCCCACCCCACAAAAGAACGAGCCCTCAACTTGTCCGGAAGGTCAGGCAGGGGCAGGCAGAAGGCAGATCTAGATCTCCTGGGAGACACCCAGAAGGTCTGCAGCACAGAGGGCTCCAAGGCTGCCTTACAGTGAGTCAGTCCCTTCCATCGAGCACAGCATGCTGGGCACTGACTGGCAGCAGCTCTTCAGGGAGGAAGGTTCCCATCCCTGCCTGGAGATACCGCAGGCTGGACCCAGGCCCTTCCGCATGCACTGCATGCATGGGCTCCCAATATTTTAATAATTCTGGTGACAAAAGGCCACCCTTTGGCCTTAAAGCTGACAGGAAGAAAGCGCGGAGTAACCGCGAGAGGATTTCTGTGCGGAGGGCTCTGTGCCTCCTTCAGCTCATCATGCAGATGCCTGGGCTCACACTGCCTGCATTCTACGTTTTTGCACCTGGCTGCTCCTGGGAGCGCTTGGGGTTCCAGCAACAATCAGCACAGCCCCCAGATCTAATGCCTGCTGAACCCTGCCATGAAGCACTGCGGTAAAGCCCCACGGAGATTCCCTTCCGGCGAGGTCACACTCCCAAGGGCCGCCCGTTCTCCTTTTGGAAGGGCAGCCACTCCGTGGCCTGCCTTTGCATGCCGTTGGGGCGTGTTCCCTACCCCAGGCTGGATACACTCCCGCTCTTGTTTTGCTGCTTGCAGGCCTCCTTTAATTTTGCTTCTAGCGAGATAAAGGTGACGCTGCCTGAGGACCAAGTGATCTGCTTCCCGAACCTGTTGGACCTTGATGTCATTGACTACATTGAAGTGGCAGGAGACTTCAAGATCAAAGTGCTCAAGTTCCCCTGATGTCGTCCTGACCTGTGGTCTGGCTACATGTCTGAAGAAAGCCAAATGTATTCTTCAGGCTGGACAGATACAAGTTCTGTTGCACTGCCTTCCCCTTTCTAGCAAGATGCTGTCCCTTCCGCAGTGAACCCCCTGCTAGGGTTTCCCGACGGCAAATGACCCAAGAACCTCTTTCTTCCATGCATCCGCTGTGACGGGCAGTCTAGGAGGTGGATCATTTTTATTATACAATAAACAACTTTTGAGGTTGAAGCTATGGGTGCTCTCTGTTTCCCAGAAGTTGTGCGTTTTCTGCTGCTGGCAGGGTACCACTGTTGGAAATTGTATACCGGTGGAATTTTCCGTATCATTCAGGAAACTGCCCCATACATAGCTAGGTGGAGAGGTAAACTTGTGGGCTCAGATAGCATGATAGTCCACACTGAAGAGCTGAGAGTGGGTTGTTGCTGAGCTGTGGTTTATTATGTTGTATGAACCCTAACCGCACTAACAAACCATGCTTGGTTAGTACTAGGTTAACAACATGGGTTTCTTTCATGGGTTGTTTGTGCTTAACCGGCCATACTTTGTTAGCATGAATGGATTCCAAAATCTTAGTAACCCTTCTTTCAACAACCTACAGTTCAATGACAAGCCATACTCAACCCTTGAATGTAGGTTATTGTGTTGTCTGAACTCAGGCAGTCAGTGAAATCAATAGAACTACTCCCGAGAAAGTTTGTGTCATGGTAAGAAGATGCTTCACACTTGAGATGTTCAGAGATCTAACATACCCATTCAGCATACATCTCCCTCCCAAAAGTCTTTGCTGAACAAGTAATCACACATCATCAGTGGTGCAATTTACGCAGGCATCACAACACTGTGAAGGCAAACCGTGTCATATCCTGCTTGGAGGAGGATTCCTCAGATGAAGGAGGCCAGTGCAGGGAGCCCACACAGGGGTTGTGGTTGCAGAAAACTGCTCACAAATGCCCAGTCTCTGAGTTACCCTCTTAAGAATCGTCAGTTCAGTCCAAGAGTCAAAGTCTGTCTGTGCGCGTCCAAAGTTCCAAGAAAGGCAGGGGTGTCCAGAAGGATGTCAGAAATCTAGATACCAATCAGTTTTAACCAAGTTAGAGAGTGCGGATAACGAGTCTTGTTGTTTGCAACAAAGAGCAGCTCTGTCTGAACCATTTGATAGCCAGCTGTAACTGAGCCCAGCTGACTGATTAGGACACAGAAAACATCCTGTTCAGACTGTTTGGGCTTCTGTGGAAGCCGTGCACGCCTCCTTCTTTCGAGTGGGTCAGAATCACTTCTGCTCCTGACTCCTCTTCTTGGGGAACCACAGGGATGCCCAAGAGGGACCTGGCTGCTCCCCAGGTGGAGAGCACTTACCTGCAGCCACAACCTCCGTGTCCATGGATGGGGCCCCCTGCACTGGCTTTCTTCTTCCAAGGAATCCCCCTCCAGGTAGGACATGACAAAGAGCCTGTGACAACTACGCAGACGCTCAAACATATGAAAAATAAGTACAGGAACCATTTGCAAAGCAAAGTCGATAACGCAAGCATCCTGGTATTGCTGCATTAGTTATCTTCATCGACTCTGCTCTGTGGATGCTCAGTTAGCTTATTTTCCATGCATTTAAGCTTTGATGCGGAGGCCAGCGCGCCACCTGCCCTGGCTACGTTTCGTGCAGGCTCCCCTTCAGGGGCTCATGCTTCCAGCGTCTCATGACGTGGACCGCAGGTCACAAAAGCCGGAGCCATTGCACCTTCGCTAGACTTTGGGTGCACTTATCAACCACCGAGAATCGTGTGGCACGTGGGAAAGGGAACGCTATTGCAAGAGGAGGCGTCTCCCTGTAACTTTGCAAATGGCAGGCTTTCTTTGGGGTGAGGTGGAGCTGAGCGGCAAAGAGAAGAGGGCAGGACAGCTGGAAGGCTCCGGGCCTCTGCTGGGGCTTGACGGTATGAGTTCCTGTAGGCAGACCAGCTGCTGCATTCAACAAATGGAGACAGTTGTGCTTACACATGACCGGACTGGGGCCATGCCTGGCCGGGGGGGGATTAGTTCACCCCCCTGCAAACGCCTGAGCTACTACTGAGCTTTCTCACACATACAAGGGCTACTGCACCGGCAGGGAAATTTAGTTTTGAAGTCTCATGCTGTGACGAAGGTGCTAGTGATGGGTTCAGAACAACATGGTAACTCTCACTTGATGGTAGAGGATTTTAAATTTAGTTGCTGCTACCATTTTCACTGTAACTTTATGGTTTTTAATTTTGGTTGTGATTTACATTGTATTATTGGATAATTGTTTTATATCCCCTCTCAGTTTACTGATTTATCTTTTAGTTATATTATATATTTATTTTATTATCAGTTGTTTTATTATTAATTTTATTGATACTATTGTTTTATTGTATTGTTGAATTTTCCTCTTGTGATTGTATGTAAGCTGCCCAGAGAGCCTACAGCTTATCGGGAGGCATATAAATCAATCAATCAATCAATCAATCAATCAATCAATCAATCAAATAAATAAATAAATAAATAAATAAATAAATAAATAAATAAATAATAGAGCAGGGGTTGTTGAACTGTGAGTTGTTGCTGAAATGTGGGTTTGTGTGTCACTAAACAAGCCATGAACAACCCATGAAGATAATTCATTATTTGTTGTGTTGTGAACTGTGGGTTGTTCATCATGGCTATTACCTCAGTGAGGCTAGATGGCATGGTAACCCACGATGCAGCAGCAACCTACAGTGTGTTGTCTGAACCCAGGATCTCAGGTCTGTGCAGAGGAGGAGTTCTCTGTTCTGGCACAAAACAAGGGAAGTATTTTTCCATCTATTGGCACATTTGTTCTCTATGCACACACAAAATGCTTACCTATAACGGGATGGGATATTTGCAACCTTCTTAGAGTGGAGGGATAGTGGGCATTTCTCAGATTTCTCAGGGAGTTCTCAGATGTGCTGCTATTAAGATGGTATCCTGGCCCAGTAGGTATCCCATCCCCTTGAGAAGGATGGGAGGCCATTAATGTCAACAGCCTGTTAGCCAGCTGGTGCTAGCGGCGCCAGGGCAGGTACTTCAGGTACATGGAATGGCTCCTCGCTTGAACACATGAAAAGCCAGGAAAGCGCCAAGGGAATCGCGTCCATCAATCGTGTGAGCTGGAGTTTCTGCGATCTGCCTCACTTGTTCTCCTAATTTGCTCCAAATCTCGCATGGCTGTGTGCGCGAAAGGCCTGACTGATTGAAGAGGCCGACCGCCAGTGCAGCTCCTCCCCCCGCAAGCTCCCCCCAAGCCCTTCACCAACTGCAGGGTTTGTACTGGCACGAGAGCCCGTCAACTGCTGATAGGGGCATTTGCTGTCCTGATCCGGGAAAGCAGCTGCAAATCTCCTTTCCCCACCCAGGCATCTGAACACCGGAGCCTTTAGGAGAGAACGGGAACTATGCCGTGCCCTCGTTATCTGCGACGAGGCAACAGGTGGTGCTTGGCTGTGCGAGAGTATCTGCCCTTGTAGGGCAAGCGAAATGCTCTGGGAATTCCCAGCACCTCAGTCAGTGAGGAGGAGCACTGCTGTTGCTGGTCAGTGGTGAGAAGGAAGGGGTGCGGCACAGTCGGGCTCTTTTGACAAGCCCAGGGGATGGCGCCATCCACCCCACGTGGCAGCACGTGGCCTGTGCTGGGGGAGCTATGGCTGCTTGGTACCTGCAGCCAAGGAGCGGCTTCTCAGCTCCTCAGCCAGGGTCGGATAGAACAGCCTTCCTCAGTGTGGCATTCCCATCACGACCCGCTGCCGTGTTGGTCGTCTTAAGAACAACCGATCCACTTAAATCTTGCATAGGCAAGATCAGCAATGCGTGAGGAATCCAGCTTGGGGGTGGGAATCCGTTGGGTTTCCTCAGCAAGCCACCCCAGACTTGGGTCCAGTTTCCCTCTGCCCTAAGTCCGCCTCATGCCACAGGTACGTACAGACATCTGTGCACCCAGCGCACAAGCAGAGTTTTGCTTCTGCAAAAACTTCCGCACATATGACTTACTTTGCAAAGAAAGGGACTGCTTCCTTTCCCAAATATTCCTGGACTTGAACTCAGCTCAGCTCATTCTCTAGGCCAGGGCCAAGTGCAAGAAATCTCTCTTGCTTGCCAGGTTCTGGGTGGATCTTCAGACCCTTAATCAAGGTAACATTTTTGAGCAATGGGTATGACTGCTGAAAGCCAGGCAGGCCCTGCTATAAGCCAGGGGTGGTGTTCTGGACCATAACGTCTGTCATCTCTGACTTTTGCCCATGCTGGCTGAGGCTTATGGGAGATGCAGTTAAATGGGAGGGCATGGAATCATGGGAAGGCAGGGAATCACTGTCCCTTTCCATAAACCCAATTTCCACTGCCCTCTTTGCTCCGTGAGCTTGGCAGTTCTTCAGTGTACACTTATTCCGTACTACTGTGTATTCGTCCTTGGACAGGACCGTCCACTGTGGGGATGGGGAGCGTGTGATCCTCCACAGGGCCACAGCCAGCTCCAAGCAACTCATGAGTAACCTCATGCAAATGCTGCCACGGGAAAGCAACTGGCAGGGCTCTCTGGAGGTGGTGGAGGACTCTCCAGGCTGGAAAAATGTGCAGGTCGCGTCAGGCTGGGGGTGAGGGAGCAGCACCGTCTGCTGTTCTTCCAGCTCCACCACATCACCTGGTCACCTCACCTTCATGGGTGGGCTGGCTCTGGCAGGAAGGGGGACTCTTTTGCAGCACTGGAGGAGAACCAAAGCAGCATCAGGTTCCATTCACGAATCTGCTTCGAGGGGGACACGGAAGCGCCTTTTCCCCACACCCATTTACTTAGCCATGGTTTTACGGTCGTGATACGAATGCCTCTGCGGTATACATTACATGGTCTAATTGAGGCAGGTCTCACAGCTGCGCTCACAAGGGCTCTCTTTCATCCAGACTCCATGCACACAACTCCATTTTATGCCTAAAACAACTCAAGGTAGATTTTGGCATGATAACTCAGGTCTCTAATTTCAGCGAAAAGGATACGACACTGGATCAGCGAGACTTGGAAGTGTTTAACTCTAGCGAGGGCCTTTTGCTGCTACCCTCAAAGGACACCAGTATATGCCTGCTCGTTTTCATTTCAAGGCAGTTTGTAGCCATCCAAGTTTATATTCTTCAGTTCGCATTTCTGGGGGGCTTAGCCAAGAAGCTATCAGTGGGTTCCTGTCCCTAAGCAACTGTGGGTGGGTGAGGGATAAACAGACAAGACACAAGAAATGTTTCTACGGGGCAAAATGAAGCAAGTCAGCCAGCAGACGATAAACCCTTTCCTTGTACTACCTGTTACCTTCAACCAAGGATTGCTAATGGAGCTTTGTAGGCCAGAAAACGAATGCAGCACATGCCTGAAACATCAAGAAACCGTCGCACAGAGAACTATTAACCTTTAATTGTTTCCAAGTACACACCATCTTTTCCCCAATGCTGATCATTCACAAAATAAAAACTCCCGAAGAATAATGACAATCTTTAGATGATGCAGTACAAGACAAACCCCCTTCTTTCTCTTCTTTCTTTAGTCAAGCAAACAAATCAACACAGAACTGGAGTAAAGCAATGTTCCAGCCCACAACACTTAATTCAGGTACCCCCGTCTGCTAGAAAATGGGCACAGAGTTTAAGGCCTCCAAAACCACATTATATGATTGCTAGTCGAGGATTATTCTCGTGCGTTTTCCTGGGACAGGCAAATATCATCTCCAGGTGACCATTCTGGGAAGCTTTTGCCAATTGAATGAACTGATTCTTCCCATCCCGCCCTCCTTTAGGCTGTTTCCAAACATTTCCTAGATGGTTACACAGGCAAGTTGACTCTTAGTAGATTTTAATGATGTGGTAACTATGAGTTTATAGCTGACTAGTTTGTCATGGATTGGCCACTACGCCAGGCTATTTGAAGAGGACACTAGGATCCTGAAACAACCGCTCTGCATCAAATGGGGGCGCTGAGGGGTGATAGGAATTTGGGGTTGGGCTATGCCACTCACACCAATTCCGTTAATCTCCAGAGGGCACTTGGATTAACAAGCTCAGGTTCTCTACTGAAACTTTCACCCCAAAATGCCCTGTGAAGAACCATTTCGTCTTTAGCATGAAGGTTCTCAACCTCCAGCATCAAGGCCTCAATTATTCCATCATGTGGAACTTACAACTTCCCTACAAGATCACAGTAGCTGAATCACACGATCACCATGGTTTTTTTCTCCCAGTGCACTCTCAAGGAAACATATTTTCCCCTCTGGGTGTTGCTGGAAGCATGTGCAAAAAGCAGGTAATGCAAGCGAGGGGGAGTATTGTTTGTAGCAGTTAATTAAAAAGAAGTGATGTAATTTTTTTTTAGTTCTGGACAGATGAAAGAAATAAGAATGTGAACTTTCATAAATTAAAGAGCATTTCACCAGACTCGGAAATAGACTCTCCTGATGAAATGGACTGTAATGTACAAATGTTGGAGGTATTTTCATGGAAGCAAATAAACCAAAGGGGCTTTTGCCGTAGGACTGCCCTGGCCTCTAAAATGAGGGAAGCCTGGACCACAAGCCTTCTGTGTTCTGCTGCTGTAATTACACTGAATCCAAAACATTAAGCTTCTGAAGAAACTCACTATCTGTAGAGTGACAGGCTGATAGATCCACAATGCAGAGTCTTTGTGTTGCATGGGTCCACATGTCATGCTAGGCTATCTTGCCAACAAGTCCTGGCTGGATCCACTGTGGGTTCCTCCTGCTTCCCCGTCATTTCTCCAGCTGGGTCCAGCGATTTCCCAGTGTCCTTTGACATACCTCCCCTCTGCTCCCGTTTTTGTTCTCCACCATTGCCGTTTCTCAGGGCCTCAAAAATGCACTTGAGGTCATATTATTTCCACTCCAGAAAATTGCATTAAAAAGTATTATTTGGGCCTTCACCGGTGTGCAAGCACACACACATATCTAACAAATATGTGAAGTCTTGCCTGGTCAATTCTCTTGTCTTTCCCAGCTCTCAAAGAGAGGGCAAGGTGAGGCTCCGTACAGGTGAATTTGCACAACACTGCTAGCAGTCATCTGCCTGGCAGTCAGGTGAAAAGCACCAGCAAGCAGGGCAGAAGAGGGGGAAGAAGGTACACCAGAAGAGGGGGCCAGCAAATCAGTCCTTTTGCAATGCAATACTCTGGGTTTTGGTTGCTGAGCTGACCTTTCCTGTTCCCTTGGCTGTTTCAACATGTCCTCAAGTCCACAGCTACTCACTCCAGAAAGGGGAGATACTTCCACGCTTTATGGACTCCGTTTCTGAACATCTTCTGTTGCAGTTCCCTGAGAGTGCTTAAAAAACCGTGCAAAAGCATATGCACTTGTAATGGCTGGAAAGTACATGAAGGGGGAAATTGTGCCCAATTAAAGGCTGGGAAATAAATGGAGGGGAATTTGCACACTTGCACTGACTGGTCCAAAAAATGCATAGAGGAGTTAATCTCTCCCCTTTCTGGACTAGCTGCTGACTAGAGGAAATTTTAAAAATAGGAGAAAGACAGAGAATGGTCACCTCAGCACTTATATTACATAAGTTATATTGCAAAGGGGGTGATAATGTCTCCACCCGTTTGATGCACTGTTTTTCCTGTTTTCTTGCCCTTTACTGGCCTCCCTGTCCCAGAGTGGTCACTGTGAGGATGAACTACCCTTGCAAATTAGAGAATGCTAATCAGGGGTTAATAACACTAGTGGTGCTTTCCGTACAGCAGAGAAGGGGCCAATCTTGATGGTAGGAGCAACACCATCGAATCAGAAGTGACCGACACTTGGCCCGTAAGCCACAAGAGTTGCTGGTGGCCAGACCCAACTGGGGCGTAGCGGCACCCACAACCCTTACTAACAAACCTGGCTGACGTGTTCAACCAAGAACATTCGGGGAGGGATGAGGGGAAGGAACCACGCATGTACCCCTCCACGCATGCTGAGCCTCCCTCGGATATGCTGTGATATTTGACCGTATGCTTGAACGTGCTTCTTTGGCTTTCTCCTTGGTTCTGCACAATGTGACACAGTAAGGGCCGCCATTTTAGAAATGAATCCTGTTTCAGAAACAGAACCCTTTTCTTGAGAAGAAGGAGGGAGGGGAAGACTCTCCTGCTGGTAATGTTGTGATAATGATGAGCTATAAAAATGAAAATGGAATGAATGCTCTTAAAATATACCTCCCTGTTTTGCAATTTAACTTGGTTGGAACTGCGTATTATAAGGGGAAAGCAGAGTTTATATCTTTGTTGTGGCTACGGATGACTTTGGCAATGGTCAGTTCCAATGGGACTGGCAAAGAAAGAGATCACGATGTTGAAAAGAGACAGGGGGTTTCAAACCCTTAGTTTACCCAATAATGGTCATCAGGGTGGGGTAATTTGCAGGGGAGGACCGGGATGGGGGGAGATTACTTATCTATTCCCTACGTGCTGGCTCTTCTCCATCCTGCCCTGATGGACTCTCCCCATGTTTATGATTTTATTGTCTTCCTGTTGGGCTCTGAGACCCAAAGAAAACAGTTGATGGGGAAGGGGACATTTGCAGGGAAGGATCAGCAAATGCAAGGAGCAGGAAGCAGCCCCCACCCTGCAATTTCTCTGCTAGAAATATTCCTGCATTTGCGTTAGCCAAAAGACACACGTTTGTAGGTATAGCATCATTGTTTTGCCACTGAACTGCATCTCGAAGCCCTTGTTGAACTCTGCTCCTGGCCATGTAAAGCAAGCTGCAAGTAAAAAAACGGTAACCCTGCCTTAAAAAGTTATGGAGAAGTATTTCAGATATTCAGCAGACATGTGAAGGCAGGATCTGTTTATCGGAATATGACAAAGCAGCATCTAGTTAAGAGACTGTGAGATAGTCAACTCCTTTTGCACAATTTTGGGGTTTCACATTCCGGTGGAGGCGAAGGATCACTCTGGAAATGGTCAGATACAATGGGATTAGCAAAACAAAGTACCACTACACAATGAAAAGAAACAACCAAGGCTAAGGATTTTTTTAAAGCAATCTATAAATAAGAACATTCAAAGAACCACCTCAGTAAGTCATTCAAATATCTCGCAGGCCGCATGCGGTTCCATGCCTTCTGGTTTATTGTTTTAAAATGGTCACTGAGCTCAAGACAGAGTCAAGGGAGAAGTCTCTTAGCTTCAGTTTCACACCAACTCCTGAGTTGTTTAGTTCACACAAGTGCTTGTTGAAATAGTGGTCACTTCACATCACAGATCTGGAAGACGGTATTTTGCTGTGCAAAGCATTCTCAGCAAGGTCACTTACTGGTACATTCAGTGGGTACTGAAAGAGATAAACACCTGGGGCTGGGGACTGCCTGGTGCACCAGGGTGGAGGGGCTGCGGTGCATCCTGCGCATGGAACCTTGCTTACAAACCTGCACAGGACCCTGCCGTGCAGGAAAGAGGGGAAGAGATTTCGCCTCTGCGCGCCGGAACGCACCGGATGTTGTTGCGTGTGGGAACGCCGAGTGAGCGCCAGTGGCCTGTACGCGCATGGACAGCGCGCATGGCTGGGGATTCCTACCCAACGGAATGGAGGACGTGCTCCCCATCTGCCTCCTGCTGCAGGCACAGCTGCCTCCACATCCGACGTCTGGGGCGATGCAAGCGAAGCACCAGCCACAGACAGCATTTCTGTGTGCATCAGCACCCCTGCAGAAGGACCCGAAGCTTTTTCTGCGAACCGTTCATCATGCTCCAAGCTAGAGTGTGTGGCTACATTCGGGATGGGTGGGAAGGTGTTCCTCTTCTGTTTTCCTCTGTTCAGTAAAACAAAAAAACATTTTTCTACATACATGTTGAAGTAGAATCAAATAACTGGTTAGCATATGTACACAATCTATACAGAATTCTATCTTGTGGGTTTAAAAAATATAAATACCGATATTGTTCAAGACAGTGGGGATCACATTAATATTTTAATTAAGGCTTCATTACTGTATATCCTTCATTCTTGAATGATCCACGGTGCACAGAGGGAACCGAGACGCCTTTCGTGGGAACAGCCTGAAATTCTTCAAGATAAGCCAGTCCTTTCCATTGCTGTTCGCTTCTGCACCTCACTTGCTGCCCGTTTCTGCATCACTTTTACCCACAAGAACCCCACATGGATCCAGAGAGGCGTTACAGTGTAATGTCACAGAGAAGGAAAAAAAAATGCTTCCATGCTGTTTATTTTCCCTATGTTAATTAAAAAAAATAAACTCATCATCAATTTAAAAAGTTAAAAGCTCTGTCTGATTAAATAAACTTAGGGAGGAGCGAGAGGTCAGAGCAAAGAAGATGGAGCAGGAGGCCTGCTGTTACTGCCGGTTCCGCTGGAGGGTGCGGGAGGTTCCGTCGCTGTTTTGCTCTGGAGGGTGAAGTCCGTGGGGAGGCCCTCCACAAGGCACTTGAGCTGCTCCTGACCGAGTTTGATCTTGTCATCCAGCTCACGCTGTTCTATAAGCAGAGTAGATTTCATCTTCACAAAATGCTGATATTCCTGAAGCTTTTCCTCTGGAAGGTAATTGCACAAAATGTTCAGGACCACACGCTCTCGCCGGTCGAGGTTCTCCTTCAGCTCACAGGCATCTTCATGCTGGCCTGCCAGCATTTTCCGCTTTTCATTCAGAGAGCTCTGTCCCATGTCATGGGGTGGGGAGGAAGGGAGGGAGGAAAGAAAACATGACATTGAGCACCGCAACTCAGTGGGTAGCATTCTCTAATCTGCTCCCTCATGCCATCAGGTCCAGCTCCCTGCTCTGCTTCCACACGTGGTCCCCCATCTGGCTGCAGCTTGTGCCTTTCCAGCTTAGCAAAGGTGACTTGATGGGCTAGCTCAAGGTATAGCTATGCAGGTGATACTTACACAGCCTAGAAATTGCATATTACTCCCCTAACAGTTCAGGAATCCTCCCAACATCATTGGCATGCTCTAAAAGGTGACCTGAGTTGAATTCACCTGAGAACGGGCTTGCTGCAGAACACCACTGCCCCGCACAGGTGTAGGAAGCAGGTCTGGACCTCCTTGGCCTACAGTGCACAGGAAGTTCCTTGTGTGAAAGCAGGGGCACACCGAGCTCTTGCCCCTGGACTCTCTCAGTGTGCTATTTGAAGGCCTTCAAGGTCGTGCACTGGCTCAGCTTGGGAAGGTGAATGCCTGTCCGCTGATTCACAAGATGCAGCAATCGCGATTACATTTACAGATTTTAAAAGCCCTGAATGAATGACGAACAGCAGAGTAAATGGCCTGGGAGATGACTGCTCACTGGTTTCAGATTCCAGGCAAGAACTGCATCGTTTTTGCTGTCTTTTTCGATGGAAGTGAGGGAGATAACCTCCCCTTTGAAAAACAAAGGGTTTGCCACCCGGATTCCTTTCTGGGCTCTGCTTCATCCGACAAGCTTTAAAGTGTGGAGCTGCCCCGTTTGTTACTACGAAGAAAGCCAGAAAGCCGCTCCTGCCCCCTTTGAAGTGCACAGTGAAAGCCAGTGTGAGCTTTGGAGCATATGCAATCAGTTGCTGGATCCGAACATGCACTCCAGGCTTCCTCAAGGTGGTATGGTGTAGTGGTTAAGGGTGCTGGATGGGGACTCAAGGGATCTGCATTCTAGTCCCTGCTCAAGCATGAACTGCTCTGCTTGATTTCAGGCCAGTCACTGCTTCTCAGCCTAGCCTACCTTACAGGGTTCTGGTGAGGATAAGATGCAGAGAAGGAGAATGTTGAAGCTGCCTTGGGTTCCTTGCAAGAGGAAGAAAGGCAGGATATAAATGCGGTGTGGCGGTGATGAGGACGGTGATGTTTTGGGCTACAACTGCCAGTATTCCTGCCCATCAAGTGCACTCCATACAGCTGATGCGAATTAAGGCCCACAATATCTGGGTGGCACCCAGCTGGGGAAAACTGGATCGTGCCCTTCCTAACTCAACTCAAAGAGCTTGAGTCATATCTGCTTCACTTCTGTATCATTCACGTTGGCAAAGCAGTCTGCTCCCCTCCCCAGAAGAGAAGTAAAACACCTTTATACTCTAGGATTAGCTTCAGTGGCTGAATGTGCTGTGATCAAATACTTGGGCGTGCCACTAAATTCATCGAGAATTTCCCTGAAGGCTACGACTGCAGGACTCTAGTCTAAACGCATCAGGGCTGGCACCCAAGCCTGTTTAGACAAAAAAAGCCCCTGCGATGGCCAGAATGACGAAGCCACTGAGCTGCAGGGGGCTTGCATTACACCCTCGGCTAGCCTTTTGCAGGGCCAGAGGTCCTGGTCTTCCATTTATGCAAACCTCCCATGTTTTCCGAATCGTCCTTCCCCCCTTTTTCTTATCACAGAAAATCTGCTAAGCAAAAAAAGTTAGCACACACTTTCTGACTGTCAGCAATAGGAAACTCCTGCCTAGAATCACCCTTGGTTGTTATTCTCAACAGTTTCTGTACTGGTTACGCAAGCAACGAGGTGCAAATAAAAGAAAGGTACATACAGATCAATCCCCATCAAAGAGCAGTGGTAACTTCAACAGCAAGTATTCAATTTCAATGAGCAAAGTGCAATGCGGTATAAACAAAAGTTTATTCCCCACTGCCTTGGCCATGTGGACTGTATTAAAAGTGCAGAACTTCATATACTGCTGTAGTAATCAAACACCCTGTGAACTGGCCATAAAAAAAGTAGGTATTTTACTGCCAAAATTACTGCTGGAGTTAATTTTTGCTGCTTCAGGCAAGCCCTGGATCTTGCTGAATCTACATACCCATTCTTGATTGTTGGTATCTTCTCCGAGGCTGCTGAGGACATTCTCCACCCGGGCCAGGCGTCCCGAGAGCGAAAGCAAGAGGCTCACCACCTTATCCAGGTCTCCAATGAACATCTTGTATTTTTCAAACTCGTTGGGCTTGCATAGACCACTGATCAAGGCCTCCACTTCTTCTCCCAAGGCATTGTTCAGCTTGATGTCAGCCAGCAGGTTCTGCTTGGCTTCTTGGAGAGTCTCCAGCTTGCGGGACAAGCTCTCAATAAGCTCGGCCTAGCAGGAGAGAATCAAATAGAAATCGGTCCCTACTCTCATACCAAAACATTTCTGCAAAAGATTCTTTATCGATCCCACGCCAGCCAAGTCATAAAATATATGCAAATACATTTATCAGAAAGAGGAGTGATTTCATGTATCGTGAGTTCACCACTGCATGATGTCCTAAGGCAGGTGTGGCCAATGTGTGGCCCTCCAGGTGTTTTGGCCTAGCCAGCATTGCCAATGGGGAAGGATGATGGGAGGCTGAAACCTTCGCAGGGTCCTAAATTCTGCACCCCTGCACTAAGCAAACCCACCATGCAAAGTGGGAGTAGCAAGCTACTGGGTAGAAAGCATGAAGCACAGTTTGCTGAGCAAGAAGGGGGCAAAGAGACAGACATTTTGTTCTCTATTTATGCAGCATAAAGCTAAAGAAGAAACTCCTATTCAAAAGCAAGAACTTGACAATGATACAATTTTCACTTGCTATTCCAAAAATCAAGGGATGTATTTTTCTGGTACCACTTGCATCACCACAATAGAGAACTTTTTTTTAAAAAGCCACCTAAATTTTTTTGCCTGCATGGTACCCTATGTACGTATGAGAGGTCGTATGTGTGAGATTATTTTGGCTTGCTCTTTCAACACCTGCAGTATCTACTGACCAAGGCACAAACTAAGTAGCTTTCTGTTAACAGAAAATTCTACGACACAGACTGAAGATCTTCACAAGCCTTCTACATTTGTCACATTTTAGCCAGAAGAAAGCAGTTGAGCAGAAAACACTTGTTTTCCCTCTTATTGTTGTATATTTGACATTTAGCCCTTTCTGTATGGATCAAGTTCCCCAATGCGAGTCATCTAGCCTCAATTCCACCATGCTTTCAGCATCAGTTTAAGACTGCCCTCTATGCCAAAGCTTTCCAACAGCTTTAAAGTGTGTGTGTGTGTGTATGTGGAGAGGTCAGTTGTTTTAACAGGCCTATTTCAATTAACTTTAGGTATTCGTTTAAATTAAACACAGTTGTTTTATATTCAGTTTTTCATAGAATCAGAGAATTGTAGAATTCACATCTTTCAGTAAATTGTTACAATGCTGTTACTGTTATCTGTTTTATGAGTTCTATTTTATTGTGTTATCTGTATTTTATGAATTGTTTTCAACTGCCCAGATAGCGTCAGCTATTAGTCAATGTGGAACTAAAGCAATAATGATAATTTCTAATTGGAGGCTTTATTTCACTTTCTTACTGCATTTGACCAAATTTCTCCCATTACCCAACGCAGATAACCCACCCAATCATGTACAAACCCTGCTTTTCCTGCCAGTTTTGTATCATCAACCTAGATTTGCAGTCTGCACGTTTTCTGTAGGAAACAGGAAGCTCTGCAATTGCTTTTCTTCTTTTCTGCAGCCCCTCTGCCCAACTCATTTTACTTGGGGAACAATTGCAGGAATGATAGCAAAGTGCCTGGGATTAGTGGTCTAATATTTCAGCTCTGAGCACACAAGCATTTGCTTTGAAACAATTAATGACTCCAAACAGTTGCTGCTGCTGTTTGCCGGGATACTGATAAAACAGAAGGGCCCGCTGAGGGCTTCCTGTCCAGCCCAGCACCCCCTTCCACCCAAACCCAGATTTAACCTGAGGTGTCACTGCTCTCCAGCAAAGAATCTGAGCTTCCACAGTATTTTCTGTTTATTTTTAAATGCAGTAAAAAACACAACCATGTTCATTGCAAGTGCAATAGCAATGCGACAGAGGTTGTTTACACGGATAGTTCCATTAGGGTCAGTCCTCAAGCTGGGGTGATGTCATGCTGGGCTCGGGGAGATCTGGATTCTATTCCCCACTCAGACATGAAGTTCACGGGGTATCTTTAAGCCCGATATTGACCCTTTGCCTAGCCTGACTCACAGGGTTGATTTGCGAGGATAAAAATCTAATCAAATAAATAAATAAACCGAGCAGGAGAGAAACCTTGTACGCATGTCAATCCTACGGAACGTCTTGCGAGATGGAAAAGGGTAGGATATGAAATCAATGTAATGATAAAATAGATAACAACCCCCAGGAATTCGCTTCAAAGTCTGATCTGGCACCAACTCTCCTAGATTCCACCAGGCATCCTGAACTGACTGTCCAGTCAAGGGTTAGCAACTTGCTTTCTGTTACTCTGTTCTTCCTCATGCACAGTTCAAACAAAGGAACGTGGGATTTGCACCATTCTGCTTAGGATCACGGCCAGGAATACATAAAACTCACCTTCTTTGCATTGATGCCCACCTGCTCTTCATCCCCATCTGCTTCTCTGGGCGAATCCTTGGCTTTGTTCAGGAGTTCTGGCTGGGGGACAGACATGCAGTAAGCTGGACATGAGACCAACGTCGCAACAGCTTCTTTGTCCTTCCTAAACAAAAAGAACATACAGAACGGAGTCAGGGAAGAGGTGTGTTTTTCTTGTGCCAGTCAACAAACACTCAACATTGGTATGGGAAGGCAAGGAAATTATTTTCATCTCTCTTTGAGAGCCCATCTCAGCCAGCATAGTACATTTCTAAAAGTACCTGGTCAGGGACATTAATAGGGGTCTGCCACCAGATGGCACAGGTCCACTGTTTAAAAAATAGTCCACATCTTCATGTACAGCATAGATTGTCTCCCTTTCAAGGAATCCTTTCCCCACTGACTCATCTGCCAAAGAAACCCACAATGTTTCAGACTCTAGGAATTGTGGGGCATCATTGCATGGTCTTCAGATCTGCCCTGCTGAACTGAACACATACACCTAACCAAGACTTCTTTGTGGATTCACATTAGAATGGAAATGCAAACAAGCCCTCTTCCAGAAAACCTTCTCTATTACTGATCCTCTTGCTGCAAAAAAAAAACCTTGATAGGTTCATAAGACTTGGGACAATCTAAGACATGTAACTCAGCTTGCACCTTCCACTCAAACTAGAGTAGTTTTTTAAAGATTTCTTGCAACAAAGACACAATGTTCCACTCCCACATGTAATAGAGGGGGAAAATAGATGTTCACTTTTCCAGGGAAGCAGGTAGAGGGCTGAGATAAACCTGATTGCTACTTCCCTTTTACAAAAGAGCAGCCCTGGCCAGAACCCTAGCAAGGACTACCCACAAGCGTGATGGTTACAAGAACACAACACGTGTTTGTTTCTTTGTTTGGAAAGCATGGAATGCTGGACAATCTTCTGTACTGGAAGCAGAGAGCAAATCAAAGGCATGTGGTGAAGACGGTAAGAAAAGTGGTGCTCACTTGTTATCTTCTGGAACTGAACCTCCGGTCCCTTTCTGCAATATTTTCCTTTTCCAGCTCTCTTTAAGTATCCAAGACCCTCGGGGAAATATCCCTTCCATCAAGTCCATGGTGGTCTTCATCTTGGCATCGGGATCCAGGATGCTGGCTAGTGACTTGTCCTTGTGGATGATCTCCTTAGCTAAGGCTTCTTCCTTCATTTCCTCTGGGGTCTTCGTCTTCCCTGTGTGACCTTCAGGGCTGCACCCAGCATTTTCGGAGTCCCTGCTAGCAATGACGGGCCCTTTAGGCTGACTGGCAGGTGTTTCGGCAGCTGGCCCCAGTGTGGCCAGAGGCGGTGGCTGTGCTTCTGAGGAGGATGCAGTGCCATTCAGCTTGGACCCTGAGCTCTCAGTAGGTGACGCTGCAGAGCTGTTCCTGGAGATGGTATTGCTTGGTTCTGCTTTCTCCTTCTCACTGAAGTTCCTGGGAAGCTTTTTAAGGTTTCTGTTAATAAGGAGAAAAAACCCACTTTAACTCAGGGGTTCTGAACCTCTCCAAGGCGAGGAGGGAACAATTTGAGCTTTCCCTAAAGTAACTTACATCCTGATTTTAAGTACTTGTATTTGGAAGTTACATCACATTGGTTTCTAAGGCAGTGAGCACAGGGTAACAATTTAAGGCAAAATGCCTTAATATAGTTTGGGAATCAAGCTGGACTGATCATTTGTAAACATTCAATATTTGCCAATGCATTCAATTTCACCATTGGAATTTGAATATGTTTGGATTCAAAACTGAAAGCTGCATTTTGCATGTGGATTTGTACATTGTAATGCAATTGCTTTAGGTTTTGTGGGCATCTCTTGATTGTGTGTTAAAACTGATGAAATCAGAACAATCAAATCGTACAAGCAACTGCGCCCCAATTGTAAATCACAGTCACCCATTAAATGCTATTGCAGGCCAACCTTCAATAGGTATAAATTACCACTGCCTATCAACTTGATCAACAACCAAATAGAATCAGATCCTACCTTACCACTATCAAATATCAACAATTATATATCAAATACTGAATAGCATCATGTATTAAATATCAAATCACCAACTGCTTGGTGAATTAGTGAATTCACTTGATGAATTGCTTGTAAACTGTACTTGTTTGTTGTAAGCTATCCCGAGACACTAGTATAGGGACGGTTTATCCAAAGCTTAGAACAAGACAAGACACTGAGCAATGGTTTGCATATTCAGAGAGTAGTGCAGAGAATAATTGGGGGGGCTAATTTTAGTTTGCAGCAGGCAGATGGAAGAAGAATGGAGGGCAGGCGCACCCATTCAGAGCTTTGCTGCTAAGACCCTAAGGCAGCTGAGCTGAAAATGGATTGCAAGGAAGAACAGGGAAGGGTTCGCCAACACCTCTGTACCTGATCACAAAACTCTCCCCTCCGGGACGCGCGGGCTGGTCTGCTGCCGGCTTGCCCGCTTCTGGCGCAGCGGCAGGAGGCGCTGGTGATCCTTCCGTCGTGCTTGCTGTGGTGCCGGGGCTCGGTGCAGGAGGCGGAGGCAAGGGAGGGGGAGAGCACTCGGATGAAGACCCCACGGAACGAGGCAGTGGCTCACTAAAGAAAACGTCGTCGTCGTCGTCCTCCTCTTCCCGACGGGTCAGCGGAGGAGACTCCTGCAGACAGGATTCTGAGATGCGGAGGGAGAATCTTCCTGGCCCAGAAGCAGTCCCTGTCTCAGAACTGGAGCTGCTTTGGGAGGGAAGGTTTGGCCACTGCTGGAAGACTTTCTGCCCACTTGTCTGAGGAGGCGTGCAGCTCTTTGGGAGGCCGGCATCTTTGACCCATTTAATTTTAGGTGGGAGACATCTCTGAGGCACAGCAGACTTCCACCTCCAAGATGCTTCTTCTGTCAGTTCCTTGGGCAGACTATCATCCCCCTCCAGAACGTGGGGCTGCCCTGTACCCTCCTGATCAGGTTTGGGCTGCCATTTTGTGAGGAGGCCTTCCGCAGTCCCTAGAAAATGCAGTGAGGCTGGTGTGGCATTAGCAGCATTAGACCAGCCAGATCTGGGAGAAGTATGGGGCCTGCCCGTCCTCTTTGAGTCGGGATGGTGACCCTTCGCATCTGCTGAAGGCGAGACGGATGCAGATGTTCTGCTGATGTGCCTGAGACGATCGAGGGCCTTCTGGCTCTCACTCAGTACAGATGAACTACCAACGCCCTCACCACTTGGACGAGGGTGGGGATGATACTGGGTGAACGCTGATGTGCCAGTCTGACCTCTTTCTTTACTGCCAAATAATCTAGGACAGGTGTAAAAATAGGAAAAGGTTTATATTCCTTTTTATAGAGAAAATAACTCAAGCTCATGCGTCAGTTCCATAAAAACGTGGCGTCTAGTCTTCTGCATTAAAAATAAAACAAGCAAAAGTTGAAGCAAAAATGCTAGAAATTCAGCAAGGAAAATAAAATCTGCACAGCTGAAGAATATTTACATACACACACTTTTCTCAATGTTTTCTAAATGCTAGAACTGTGTTATTCCTAAAGTTGAAAGATTTATTTTTTGGGTGGATTTTTTTTGTATCACACATTAAGACAGTGAAGGTTGTGGACTGCAATTACGCTGTAGCAGGTGAGATGATCTGCGGGGAGGAGGTCAGAATGCAGCCATGTTCACACTGCCTTGTCTCAACCTGTTACCTGCTTTATGATCATGACCACAGATGCTTTATGTTTACCCTTAGTTACAAGAACCAGAAGCCTATAAGTATTTTTTTAATGCACATATATTTAAGAGACACCATAGGGCAGTTTGGTGATACAGTGATATTTAGTGATCCAGTATCAGTTCCGATTGGGTATCAGCGTCACAGTCGATCACCTCACTGTTTACCATTTTTCCTGTCACAACTGCTCTTTATTCCTCTCTTGAAAGGAACAGTTACTGGCGCCTATTCTGCATGTCTTGCCTTTGATCCAGTTGTGGATTCCTATACCTGAACCATTTCTTTTCAAGAAGATCCAGCACTGGGTATGCTATAACAAAGGGTCATTATATGCTGGTAACTATTCCAGGTACAGAATCTCATTCCCCACCTTTACTTTCCTATGGATAGAAAAACGTTTTCCCTGGTTAATTAATGTTTTCCAGGTTCTGGCAGAGGTACGAGTCAGCATTTTCCCTGAAAAGGTCCAGACTGATTTTTCAGTGTCGGTCCAATTTAAGTCCCATTCGTTTTAATGCATCTACCCCTTGAAGAGAACTCACACTGGTACAACCCAACACACTCTGTTCATTTTAGTTCCTCCGCCATAGTTAGCTAAATGGTGGGTTATTGTTGCTTTTAACTCAATTTGTTCCATCTGGGAGGAAAAAAAAATCTGTAGAGTGACTCTTGAATGTAAAATACTCCCCTGCAGAGGAATGTACTTAATGCAACACATAAATTGCTGATGCAGCAATGGCATTCCAATGGTTTTAAGATGGTAACAAGCACTTAGGAATGTCAGACTTGTCACTAACATATATTACCTAATAGCCCATTTCCTGCTCCTGTTGGCTCATTTCTGTGCAAATGTCGATCTAGCTACTTAAGGAGCTGCGTGGAACAGGCAATGCACATATAATTTTGAAACAGTGATTAATTGGGGAAGATGAGAAGGAAAACTATGTTGTTTCCATGCAATACCACTAAAACTAGTTAGGAGCTACTTAGCAGGATTCTCATGTGGGGGGTGGGCATAAGCCCCAACTACCCCCTCTTCAGAGCACTCTCTTGTTAGAAACTAGACATCAACTCCAAGCCTAGCCTGGCAGCTAAAGTTCCCAAATAAACATTTTGGTGTGACTCTTGCTATCGCTTAGGGTTTCAACTATAATTTTCAGTTTATCAGAAGTCAGACACATGAGCCCTCCTGGCTGACTCAGAATGAAACAGGGGCTTGCGCAATGACCCCTTCGGGATGCTCCTGATAACAGGAAGACTTTCTGTCAAAGCGGTTAAGGCGACCTGCATCGTGCTTCATGCCACCAATACCTGCTCCCGCAGGAGACAGGTCAGTCTACACGGGAGATGCAGATCATGCACTCTGCATAGGAGATGTTCCACCACACACAGGTTAGCCAGGTGGGTGGAAGGAATGCACGATGCTCAGAGTGCTGCGAGAGCAACAGTGGCGCTCGTGTTTCAAGGTAAATACCAGGGCAAACATTTCACTGTGAGTGGGAACAGCAGAACAGTTTATGCTTAACCTGCAGTGCAACTTCAGGGTCTCTAAGATATCGCTCACCTACGGACATCTTCTAGACGTCATCCCCAGAGACACAGTCAACTGACAGCAAAGTCTCCATTGCAGCCGTTGGGTCTTCAGTTAGCAGGGGATTTACAGAAGTCAACCCTCGCTAAAGTGTAACTTCTGCATTAGGTAAGTTTTATGAAAATAAAACCTTTGTCCTGCACGCAGGTTCCATTTAACTCAGGCAATAGGGGCAGGGTCTGAGCATATATGGAAATGTTTAAACATGTTAAAACAGTTTCAAGGTGATTCCTTTAAAAATAAAAGGTCTCTCAAACTCATGGCAAAAGGAACCTTTTTGGATTTTGATAACTGTACCCCTCTTTTCTTGCTTCAGACACTGTCTCTGCAAGACTTTTTATAGGAAAACTGTTCATTTTAGTTTGTTTTAAAAAAATTGGGTTAGTTTGTGTAAATCCTTGCAGGTTTACAACTGTGCAGATATATTTGGCTCCCCTCTTGCCATGAGGCATACACTGACCAAACAGGAAAAACAAACCGCCATGGAAGAGGATATGGAAGGGGACAGTTAAAAAAAGTAATGGTGTTTTCATTTTCTTGAGTCAATTCTGTTATGCAAAAATATCCAAGAATACTTCATCTGGAGAAACTGAGAAATATCCAGTGCTTGACTGTACCAAAGTAAGCATCTGATTTCCTAATTCAAATTGTGTCATTAGACCACAAAGCATTCAACACTAGAAAATAAAGATTTACCTGCTTCCAGCATCCACCACATAGAAAGGATCTTTCACAAAGTGACTGAATGCAGTCTTGTCTCCCATCAGCAAGTCCTTAAGGTAAAAAAACAGTTAAAAAGGAAACAGAAACCTGAACTTTCTGCAAAAGAAACCTTTTGAAGGAAGTTGTATTTTGGGTGAGTCCAAGTGCACAATAAATACTGGAGGAAGAGGAAGAAGCTGGCTTGCATGTATGGCATGAAGGTGTTTGTGATGCCATGCTCACATCTTTCTAAAATTAGAGGTTCTTTGAACTCCTCATATGGAGCTTAGGTGAAACGAAGCCCGTTCCCCCCACCCCGAGCCAATGCATTCTTGTCAGCAACAATTCCTAATGGAGGGCCAGTTGAGAGAAACAAGAAAGCACATGGCAGGTGAGAATTCTCTCCTCATTCTGGAAGCAAATGGTCAGTTCGTTCCAGAGCCACAGCTGCTGCTCAGTCTGCAATCCCTTCAGTCCACCTCCAAATTGCAAGCAGGAGAGCTGATATCTGACATGAACTCATTTTGGCCCAGAGCTGTTCACCTGCCAATTGTGAGCTTAGCATTCCAATCCCCAAAGCACCCGCCTTGTATACTATATTTCACACAGGCAGTGAATCCTCCGTGCACACACGCCCCATCACCAAGCATTGTCCTACTCACAGATCATCTTTTTTGTTTGAAAGAAATGGGAGTTCTCTGTTCATTCTCTCTCTCTCTCTCTCACACACACACGATATCTGTGCATGCACAAGCGTGCAAGAGTACAGGCATGCCTTGATTAACACACTGAGAAGCCCCGTCTAATTCACCGAACCCAGCAGATCGGCATTTACGAGCTGCAGGAAAGGGGTTCAGTGATGTTTGCTTGGCAAAGAGGAAAAACTCCGGCTGGGACTTTTGGCTGGAATGCCTCCCCACAAAGCTGCTGCTCCGCCTCTTGATTCTCTCTCACTGATGTGCAGCTGTGCCAACTAGTTTTCCTGCAAGGGCACTTTTCACAATTGGAGAGCCACGTGTGCCTACCTGGCCTTGGAGATCATTGCAGGGCCTCTTCTGTGGGAGCCATCCCTCAGGGAAGCAAGCGAGGGGGCCAACAGAAAGACGGCCTTTCCTGCTGCTGCTCCCCACAGTTGGAATGCTCTCCCCAAAGAGAGTCGCCTGACTCCATCTTTGCATTCTTTTCGGCACCAGGCAAAGACTTACCTCTTTAAAAGATATTTTAATGTTCACTAGATGCCACTATGGCCTTTTGGTTGAATTCATTTATTGGAATTCATATTTATAATAATTTATAGATTGTTGGCTTATTGTTTTCATAGCGATTTTTAAAAAACTGTGTCATGTTTTGATATTGCGAGCCACCTACAGATGCCAGTGGTGAGATAGGCTGCATATAAATACTTTAAATAAATATCATAAACAGGAACTAAGATTTTCTCTTGCTTGTGAACATTATGACCAAACAGACATGAAAACCAGTTTAGCGTGCACGTGAGATTTAAACCTGGTCTTTGTGCATTTATCTGTCCTTAAGTCCATTGATTTTATTGGGCCTCACAGGTGCTTAACTGTGAGAGTTCCAGTGTAGCCCAGAGGTTAAGAATGTGGGACTGGGATGACCCGGGTTCAAGTCCCCTCTCAGCCATGCAGCCAATTGGGTGACTTTGAGCCACTCACAGACTCTCGGCCCAGCCTACCCCACAGGGTTATTTTTGCGGGGATAAGACTGAGAGCAGAAGGCGGAGAATGAGTTTTGAGTCCTCTGTAAGAAGAAAGCTGGGACAGAAATCGAATAAACAAGCAAGCAAACTGTCAGAAAGTTGCCAAACTCTTTGTCCATTTATCTCTATATCATTCATTCATTCATTCATTCATTCATTCATTCAATTTCTCATCTCCCTCTTTTTCCTTTTAAGGCAGCTTACACAGCTCTCTCCCCTCTCTCAATAGCAACCCTGTGAGGTAGGCAGGCTGGGTTGAGAGTCTGTGACTGGCCCAAAATCATCCAGGGAGCATCATGGCCAACGGGGATTAGAATCCAGATCGCTTGGATCCCCAGTCCAGCACGCTGAGTGCCACACTGGGCCTTGCCGGGCTGTGCCCGGCAAACAATGTTAATGCAAAAGAAAGAGGTTGCGGAAATGTACTCAAGCACAGGTCAATACCAGCTTCCAAGGACTCACATATTTGGGCGTCAGGTATCTCTCAACTTGAGCCACACTCCCCTGCTCCAACGATTTCTTTCTGCGGTAGTCTGCATTGGTGTTAGGGGCCAAGATGAAGCCCCCTGGACCCAGCCATTTAAGTGCTCACCCACATTTACAAGCCAAAGAGCTAAAAGGCATGTGGGCCGAGACAAGCTAAAAGAAGGAGATGGAGAATGTGTGGCCAGACAGATGGGCTAGCAATTCCACACAGCTATCAATTTCCTCAGATCTTTAAACAAATTCCTTCAGTGACAGTGCAATGTAATTTATAGTCAGTCTGCAAGGAACAGTCTATACTGCAAGCAAAGGCTTTAAAAATGAGCCAAGAGATGAGGAAAGTCTGCTGACTGTGGAGCTGATTTTCGTTTTTTAAAGACAACACTGCTTTGCTTATCTGCTGTTCTTTCTTTGTCCTCTCCTCCTCCTCCTCCCTCTGCCTTTTAAAAATATGTTTAGGGTTGAAGAAAACCATTCCCATTAAAAGCTCAGATGGACTGACTTTGTGCCATGGATGGTAGTTCATGGACACACTGCATTGCCTTTCCAGCCCTCCAGCTGCACCTGTCCTCCACCCACATGTGTGACCCTGCATCTCCGCACAGAAGGCAGCAAATGCCAGCTGAGCTCCGTCTGAAATCCTGGAAGTTGCCTTCTTTCCGAGCGGATAATGGAGGAATAGTTGAGAAGAGGAGGTGGCTCATACTCCCCTCTTTGCTTATGTATGCAAGCACGTGAATTTTTAGAATTCTTAACTGAGTTGTCAGCATGGCTACCAGATCTTGTTCCTCCATCATTAAGAAGCATCTGATGGAAAACAATTAAAATATTAAAGCTTTTCCATGTCAGGAAAAAGCTCCACTTCCTAAATTTCTGCATGTTGAGATGATGATGATGAGATTGCATATATATCTTGCATTTTTCCTCTCGCAAGGAATCCAAAAGCAGCTTACATAGTTCTTCTCTGCTCTATTTTATTCTCATAATGACTCTGTCAGGTAGCTTAGGCAGAGAGTCCACAGCTGACCCCCATGGCTGAGTGGGGCCTAGAACCCAGATCTAGAACCCAGATCTCCCAGGTCCCCCATTCAACCCTCTCACCATCACACCACACTCTCCCTTTTAGTTTAATGAATGCCCATTGCCACTCAGCTGACACAAACATAGGGAACGACTCGAGTAACATCCAGACTGAATTTTCTCCTATCAATACTGAATGCTGCCATTTGCCTTGATTCTCAATGGATCAAAAGGGTAGTGGCATTCTTTCCCAAAATATTAACTGTTAAAGCTCTAGATATTGTACACTGGCAAGTTAAAGAGGTGATCAGTTTAATCAGGGACTGTGGTCTCGTCATCAAGGGACTCTGAGGACACAGAATCACCCTGTTTGTCTGAAACATGAGAAGAACACCAGGGATTCTACCCAGATAATGTAAGAAGAGCAGCAGCTTAAAACATTTACCTCTGAAGAAGGTAAATAGGGACACAGAAGAAGTCTGGTGGTCTGCTGGAGATTCAAGCAGATGTTTAAGTATTTTGCCCACTTAATTATCCACTCTGCTGTTTATCCTGTCTTGTTTTCAAAACACTGGTTTTGTGGCTTCGACTCAGAGGGTGGTCCCAGTGACCCAGCTAATACGCCCCACACAAAAACACAAGGAAGTCCACAGGAAAAAGAAAGCAAGAAAACCAAGCATTTCACCATCTGGGGATCCCCAGCTTTTGACACAAAAGATGTGGAACACATGGCTTTCCAGATCACCTCATAAAGTCCGTGCTGGTGGTGGTGGGAACAATACTGTGCGTGCATTTTGCCTCCTGGACCCTGGTCACTGGGCTTGCTCTAAAACTGCTCAGAAGGGGATTCTGCTTCAACATCTGCTTTATAAAAACAGTGAGCCAAGAAGTAAGGACCCCACAGCTGGATGTGCAGTGGAAACGGAAATACTTTAGTGTTCTGTTCTTATTACCTCCAAAAAGGAATTTGAGAGCCACTGCAATTGATGGGATATAGCACTAGGTTTAGAGCAGGGAAAACCCGGGCAGCCTTGAAGGCTGGACCTTGGCCCAAACACTCTTTTGCCTTAACCTTACAGTTGTGCTATGAGGATCAAATATCTTAGCTGCATCCAGCTTTGCACTTCTTAAAAGGGAAGGTACAACCCTGTGCCCCTCTGTAGTCCTAGAGGGATTAATAGGATACCTGTGATCAAAATAAATAGAAGAACAATATGATATTTCACAGCCAAACTTTTCTGGTGCCATGGAAATGAACAAGAGCTGTGCAAGAGCTTGCACACACTCTTAAAAGCCTGCTGCTCAATGACTGCAGAGTGGAGAAACTCCCTATGGATTTGGTTAATACACCCAGGGCCCCACAGATTCAGACCCTTTGGGCATGTAAAAACCCCCACTCCATTCAAATTCCCAAATGTGGGAATTCCCTAGCACACAGAAGAAAAGAGCGTGTCCCCCTCCATCTCTGCCAGATTCCTTTGCTCCCTGGAAGCCTCATACATCTGCACTCCAGCATAACTCCAAATAATGGAGGAGACAACAGTGAACAGGCCGTAAGGATATGAACAAAGATATCCTGTATTCTATACATACCTGGCACTTCTTATCAGCTATGGGAGATGACCTGGATCGGACGTGCACAGCAACTGCCTGGTTTTCGGATCTCTCCAGCAAGTCTTCTGCAGATGCTGACTTCCCAGGCTTCCTGATCAGGGCCGGCTTTTTCTCTGGGGCTTGGGTATCATGGCAAGGCTTGGCACATATGTCAAGATCTGTCTGAGTGCTTTTCGTGAGTTCCGGATTGGCTCTGTGGTCATGATGCCGATCTATTTTCAGCCAATGGGGAAAGGAGGTGTTTGAGTGGGCCGCCTTCTTGCTCTCAAACCCACCAAGATCGAAAAAGCCTGTAAGCCCAGGAGGGAGACTAGCAAAGCCCCGCCCTGCTCTCGGGATGTGCTCCAGGGACTCCCTGCGAAGGTTAAAGCTCTGGTCCTGAAGGGAATTCATGCTGGAAGCAGACGAAAGGGCTTGGCCATCTTGGCCACCCACCTGCAGGTACGGGGTTGGAGGGCCCTCCCGCAGGAGGCTGGTATCATGGGACGCAGACGACGGGCGCTTCCCAGTCTTACGTTCGATGTAATCTGCCAGGGCGTTCTGTTGCAGCTGCTTCAGCTCCGGCTTGGAAAGATTGATGGTGGAGCACGCCTTGTTCTCCCTCTCGAAGATCTTGCGTCTGTCTGCCACCGTGTTCTCTGGAAAAACAAACTGGGGGAGCTTCTTCTGACGGGAGAAGGGCGAGAGATCACCGTCGGATACACCAACCTCATTCATCTTCTCTGGCTCCGAGTACGACCTCTTTTTCTGTTCGGCGGTCAGGCGTTTCCGACCGCCAATACGGGGAATGTGCAGAGCCCCAGGAAGATTTCCTTTATTGGTATAAGCCACCTTCACCTCCGTTGGCGTAATGCTGTGTCTCTCCTTCGGGGTATGAGGGGACACCGCAGGGCTCCTCATCCCGAGATGCGCCGAAGCCGGCCTCTGTGCGCTTCTTTTGGGCTCCTTCCCAAATGGAGGGCTAAAGTTGAGGTCTTTGCGCCTGAAGGACGTGGCCCTCAAAACCCTCGACTGGGCATCTTTGATCCTGTTCCTGTATGCCCTGTTAAAGGGGATGTCCAGCTGCGAGCCATTCAAGTCCTGAGCAGTCCCCTTCCAGAAGACCCCCTTCTCAGGTTCCTCCAGCACCTGGAAGGTACTTCTGCTCCGCTGCAGCTGCTCAGCCTGTAGCTGTGCACCATTTTCAAAGGGCCCACCACAGTAGAGGCCCTGCTGCGCTGTCACTGCTGCAGCAGGAGGTGCAGCTATGCCTGGCTGCTCTGCAGAAGGCCAAAGAACCCTCTCCGGTTTGCCAGTCTCGTTCTCACTCGGTTGTTGCACATATGGGGTCAAGTCTGAGCTGTTAACGCTGGCCAGCCTGCCATGTTCACTTGGCAACTGACCACGCTCCTGAGAGATAGGTCTATTTTGAATGTCCTCAATACTGTTACGGCCGAGCCTTTTAAACCCATAGTTCTGAGCAAAACTGTTTGCATTCAAACTCTGTGGCCACTGGCTGCCTTGTTCACGTTGCTCTATCTTGTTGACTTTCTCCAGAACAGAACACCGGGCCTTTCTGGATTCCATTTTGCCATACGGACCATTCTGAAAGCTTTGGCTGCTGCTGGAACTGAGCCGCCGAACGCTGAAGTCGGATGTCTTTGGTGGCTGTGGAGAAGACAGTTCCTCGTACTTTGGCTCCACACCATGGCTGTGCTCTGCATTAGCAGCGGTGTCCTGGTGGGCTTCCAAGCCTTGCCATTCTGCATCCTGCCCGTGCTCAGCAAATGGTCCCTCACAATCCTTCTCCTCTTGGCTGCTGTAACTTATGAAGTGCCAGTTGGCACCGGAGTACCTCTTACACAGCTGCGCCTCCTTCCAATCGCTGCTGTTTTGCAGCCTGGTGCTTTCCGGGATGTTTTGCAAGGAGGAAAACCCATGTTCGGCTTTACTGGAGGAGCTCCACTGGTTCAGTGTGGTGGTGGAATCCACCTCACCTTTCTGCAGGTGAGCACCCTTGCTGTCTAGCTGCTCCCCTGAGCCATACTCCTTTGTGGGGTGGTGGGCTCTGCTGTCCCTGCCATCCCTCAGGTGAGGCTGCCACGGCTGGGCACTGTGGTTCGAGTGCTGTGCATTTCTTGCGCCTTCCTGGACTGTGGGTGCCGCCACAGGAGGGGGTTCTAATTCCTCCAGTGTAGGAGATGTCGGGTACCCCAGGGGATGAGTTCTGTACAAGGCAAATGTGGCAGCTATCTCCCCCACCTCCTTCTTTTTCCCTGCCGCTGGGGAGACGTACTCAGGCTGGTAAAAGATGGCAGCCTTGCCGGGAACACTGTGGTTTCCATTCTCATCCAGGCCAGAAGGCTGCCTGCGGGCAGCAGCACTCTCATAGGAAGCCGGAGCAGACGCAGGGGGTGGCACATACCCGCTCTCTTTGGCGAGCGCTGGATAAAGCGTCCCGCTGTGGCTCGCCGAAGCAGGAGGGACCTGGGCAAAGTGTGGCTCGGGGGAAGGTACAGGGTAAACCCCCGTAGGAAGCAAAGGCTGCCCCGGTTGAGCGGCTTGGGAGTAGACCTGCTTGGGCTTCATTACGGGACTGCTCTCTGGGCTCTTCTCCACCACGGTGTGGAGCTGTCCTTCGAGGAACGCGGGTTTCTGGAAGGGCCCTGGAGAAGGCGTGCCTGGGCCCAGGTGGGGCCAGCCGCTTTTGGGATGGACTCTGCCGGACTTCCTGTGCTCCAGGCTAGACCAGGAGCTGGGCCTCTCGTGGTGCCTTATTGCGGCGTAACTATCACTTCGGGCAGGCGGCATGGGAGGCCCCTTCATATACTGGCTCTCGCCGTCAGATGAACTGCGGGTCGGGGGACCTTTGCTAGAGCCGTGCGACCTACTGGAGCGGTAACCTTTAGCCTGGGCCTCAGTGCGTGGCAAGAGAGCAGAGGAATTCACCTCGTATTCCTCTGACACTCCTCGCTGGGCATTGTAGACGGTTTTGATGTACCTGATGTCCGCCTGCCGCATGCCCCCCTCCTGGGATCTGCCCCGGGAATGCACGTTCTCCACCGAGTAGGACCGCTCCTTGCCGAACGCAGGGACGGGGTATTCAGGGGTGCTGGAGTTGGTTGAGAAGGAGCTGTAGGCGGAATCCCTCTTGCTGTGGAGGTGGGCGAGCTGGTCGATGCTGTTGGTGGATTTGGCCGGCGAGAGGTGGCAGGGGTGATGGGAGAACCCCGCGGTGGCATGGTCCAAGCTCTCCATGCTCCCCCTGGAGCTGTACTGGTCGGGGCTTCTTCTCAAAAAGCCATGGTCGTAGCTGGAGAGATCACTCGTCGAGGAACTGGAGAGAGAGGCAAGAGGGCGGAAAGGAGGGAGAAGGAAAGACTCGTCAACAGGAGAGCAAGAGAGAGCTATACTAGCTTATAAAGGGGCACTAAGGGATATGTTTAGTTTTTAGAGGAACAGACGAAAACCCATATTTGGGCCTCGTTATGTTTTAGTCTGCAGTCATCCTGGTTTGCTGGGAAGAACCGCTTGACATTGCAACACTTGCCTCTTATTTATCACTATGAAGGGGAGGAAAAAATAGATGGAAGCTGAGCACGAGCAGCAGAGGCTTTTGCAGGGAAGTCTAAGCACGTCTACTTCACCCTGGCAATCTATCAAAAGCATCCTAAACATCCCCAAAATATCCAGGCATCTTGAGTGATAGAGAGAGAGGGAGAGAAAAGGAGGGTAGGAGGAGGAATTTGCTCCCTCCCCGTCTTTCTCTTTTTGCCCCATTTCTTTTCTTTTTATGGAGGTGAAGGCTACGCTCTGGCAGTCTTCCTGGAAACTCCAACTGGACTGGAGACATTTTGTTTGCTGTGAGAAAACTAAACAGACATGACAGGGAATGAGGCAATGAGGGATCGAAGGGGGCAAAAAGGAGGGAAACCACAGCAGTTTGAATATGACACCAGCAGAGTTTCTCATCATGGACCAAGTTCCCTTGGCGAGCGGCTCTAAAGCTACTACCAAAAGGATATCAAAGGCCGCTGCTTGTCACACAGGCTAAGATGCAGGCAAAGAGCAAGAATCATCCCATGTCACTGCTACTTGGAGAAGTGGAAGTGGGAGCCTTTGATTCTAGGGCATTCTTCTCCTGCATATGATCCAAAGTGGAAGATGGGCCAGCCGTAAAACCAGCCGGATTCCTTCTCAGGGCACGGTTGTGTGAACGCCTGCATTCAAGTCCCAGTGCTACTTGGCCCACTTGCCGGCTGATCATTGCTCTTCACACAGTGTATGGTCAAACTATGGAATTCGCTGCCACGGGGAGCAGGGTGGGTTTGATTCAAATGGAATCGATTTAAATCACTAGTCAGTAAGACCAGATTTAAACCATGGTTTTCTACATAATTTGAATGCCTGCCTTACCCATAGGTAGAGGAATTTCATTAAAATATTCCCAAACTGTGTCTCTTTTACAGCCTGCTGCCATTATAGGTTTTCCTCTAAGGAAAGAATAATATGATACACCTTCAGGCAATGCCCAAACGATCCAAAGACTTGTGGAAAATTCTGCTCCAAAGGTTTCACTTTCATTTTCACTGTCTGACCCTCCCTCCTCACACTTAGCTTCTTGTGCAGAGCTATTCCACTCCCAACGATCTTTTTCTATTTACTGGACTTTTTGAAACTTGGCACTTAAGAGGTAAGGGGTTGAGATTCTGTGTACATAGATTTGCAAAGGATTAAGGTCTTTTTTCTCAACTCTGTATGTTTATTTTATAACAATTTGCTGTGAAGAAGAGGCACGTGATCTCTGAAGACATAAATGCATAGTTTTGAGAACTGTAAAACCAAGCATCTGAGATAGTATCTTCTAGATAGAAAAACTGCCCAATAATCTTACAGAAACCCCTGGAAAAGCATGACATTGTGAATGGATAAATGCAGTGGTTTTCAACTTTTCCACAGCTGGGGACTGATGAAAACAGGAAAACCACCTCGGGGACCACCATACACATGGTACAGTATTCTGTGTATTAGTTTCCAAACACAATATGGAAAAAAAAACAAGAATTCTTCAAAGCAACCAGAAACCGAACAACAAAAATGTCAACACAAGAACAAAATACCAAAATCTGCACGGTGTGGCTCCCAGCTGGCTCCCACTGAGCCGCCTCTCCCCTCCCTGCCCCCCCGGAGACACCAGTGCACTCCCCCTCTCCCCGCGAACACAATGCCAACCAAGGAAGAGCACAGCCAGCCCCTGCGCCGGGCCTCAGTTTTCATCCACCCTCACAGGAAGTGGTGATGGCCACGATTCTGGGTGGCTTTAAAAGGGAACTGGACATATTCATAAGGGAGGAGGCTACCAGTGGCTACTAGCCTTGCTGGCTCTGTGCTTCCTCCTTCACCAGAGGTGGCCTGCCTGCACACCGCAGCTGCTGAGGAGCCTGGGCAGGCAGGGATCCTGTGGGCAGCTGGTTCGCCACTGTACGCATGGGTGCTGAACTGGATGGACCATTGTTCTGATCCAGCACAGATTCTCTTATGTTCTTACTATTACTCAATTTCAATTCTTCATAGATAAAATGGGAATACATCATCATCATCATCATCATCATCACATCATTATTTTTGGATCTCCGTTTCTTAGAGCATCTGAAAGCCGCTGCAACAGCACGCAGCAATGCCCAGGCCTATGACTGTGCAAACTCTTCTCGCCATGCCATCTTTTCCATTTAGAAATGGGGTGGTGGTGCATGTGGACATAAGTCTGTTTTGAAACAGCTTATTAATTTAGACCAAACTCTGGAGGGATCTTGGTCTCAACTGGAAATAGGTTTGGTTTTTTTGTGGGGGGGGGGAGGTGTTAGACCTGTGAAATTCAGTGCCCGAACCCCTCCACACCAACAGCCAGTGCCACCATCAATGCTGACTTCCTTCTTAGTAAATTCTAGGGTAGGAGGGTGGCACGGAGATTCCTTACGGATCTATTTATTTACTTGGAGGAGGGGTTGGGGGTTTTTTGGTCTCAAAGGATTCATCAGTCTTTCTTGGGATGTTGAACCCTGTGCTGGCTACTCATGCTGATTTAAAGGAACTCTGGTGGGTGCAAAACATGATAGATGATGTTATTTCCTCAAGGGCAATAATCCCTAAACTGCAAGCAGAGCATATTAGTGTGACATGAGAGAACAACTAGCGTGTCAAAGGAAATTAACGAAAGCATTATTAATTAAAAGCTTCAGTAGAGCCCAAAGCACTCGTGCACAGAGGAGCGAGTGGAGCAGGAGGAGGGCTGCCATGTTTCTGGCTGATTCTCGGTCCTTGCCTTGCCTACTTTTGAGCAGCCTCTGCTGGGGAAAAGCCACCTCGTTGCAACTTCACAGCAGGTTGGAAACCATCATTCCATCACCTCGAATAACGGAATGCAGCCCAGTCCTCCAGCCAAAGAGCAGGCCGTGTGTCTCAGTGTGAATCACGGTTCGAAGGCTTACTTCCCTCCAGGCAGGAGCAGTGGCTCACACAGAGATACATCGGGTGGGCTCCTTTGGGGGAAGTTTACCCAGATTTTTACATGCTCTAATCTTCGGGGGAATAAGCATAAAATGTGCCTCCAACTCTCAATTCATAAAGGGTGCTGTAGCGATCAAAACTGAACTCCAAACACCAACACCAGGGCATGATCTGAAGGCAGGAAGCAGCCAGAACCTGGAGCTGGGATTGTCTGGGAGCACCAATGAATGCTGCTGAGAGCGCCATGGAAGAAAGGCTGGCTATAAAATGGAATTAACGAAAAACTGAGCATAAGGTCTCAGCTGAATTAAGACAAATATAAGATAAACTGTACCAGACCAGAGGAATGTGACCCGATGCTTCCTCACTGGAAGGGATGAGTACAAACAGTGGAAATGGTACAAAATAAGCGGTACAGGAGCCCCCAAAGGCCGAAGAGGTAACATCACAGGCTGCAGAGGTTCCTGCAGCTGCTGCTTCTCTTCCCATTTCAAACTGGACTTGCTAGACCTTCCAAGATAAAGAGATCTACCCAAAGTAGGCCCTTGCTCACCTGCTGGGATAGGTACTGGCCAATGGAATACCTGAGTCAACGCTGACACCAGGGGAAGGATCAGCACCAAAGGAAGAGAAACCTGGGGAAAGTCTATATCAGAGTCATGGGATGGCAGGAGAGTCAGTGGATCCTGGTGCTCAGAAGCATATTTCCAGGGGCCACGAGGCCTGCACTGGTGGCCACTGGGCCTTAGCTCTGGCGTCTGCTGCCTCGCGGACTCGCTCCCAAAGAAGCACTCTGCGCCTCAAGGTGTGATGCTGACCAGCCTGCTGACTGGAAGCCCGGCCAAAAGAGCAGGAGTCTTACCACTCTCTTCCCGACAAGGCAGGAAGAGGAGGGGCTGCCGCAGGGGGTGAATTGCTCCCTCCTTGCAGAAGGGAGTCTTACAAGCCCTAAACTGTCTGCAATGCCTGGAGACAGATGTGAACTGAAAAATAAAATGGTAAATGCTAAATAAGGGAGAAACTAGAGAGGCAAGCAAGGAAGTGTGACAGTGGAGATACAGCCTTGGAACAAATGCTGGCTTTTAAGAGGTTCCCAGGCGGAGGTCTCTGCTGGTGCAGAATCCGGGTGTGAGATGCAGAGGCTATGAAGATCATCTCAGTCTGAAACTGGGATATGGTCTGGAGAGCTCCTTGGCACCGGGTCCATGTGGACCTCAGGAAGGAATAAGGACATGCCGTATCAGCCACTGCGATCTGGAGGCAGTACGAATTTCTGGGTTGGCCAGGCCCGATGCCAGTATGAACAGGTTGACCCTCTGTGGGTGCTTGAGCAAACCTTCTGCCTGGCCTAGTTAAGGCTCGAGCCCCAGGTAAGGCTTCTCCAGGACATGCCTGGTCTGGGTTCAAATAAAACTGCTTGATCATGGCAGAGCCAGCCCATGCCTATCCCACTCCCCTGATCATGGTGGCATCATGTGGGTCTCCTCCTGCCAAGAAACTTTGGCCAAACCCCTCCCGATTGACCAACGGAAAAATTATGGAGGACCTCTTCTGCCCTTGGTCCGCACCTCCTGCTTTAGCTCACACAGAGCTTTGGAGCACAGCAGTGACCAAACTAAGGGTCGCTTTCCTCCTTTTCACTACTCTTGCCCAAACTATGCTATCTGCTTCCTCTGTGACCTCTTCTTGGGGAACCCTCCTGGCCTAAGATTGTTTTCCATACCACAGGAGGGCTCAGAAATAGGAGGAGGAAAAGAGCTGAAAATATGCTTTGCCAGGTAAGGTTGAAGGACTGAGAATGAGAGAGAAACCAGGACACAGCAGAGGAGGAATGGTTTGCATGTTTAAAGTTCGTTTTCTCAACTGCTTTGGTCATTTGTTGTCTCTTTAAAACAGACAGACAGATGTTCTCAGTCCCTGACAATTTGCCCTCCCCAGTCCTCATTTATTGTTGCTGAAAGAGGACAGGCAATCTGACCACCGGATGCCACAGAGGTTCGGCAGCAGAGAAACACCTGGGACAACAGCATCTTTGCCAAAAGAGATGTGATGCAGAAAGCACAAACCTGGGGCTCGGAACTCTTTGCACCAACCCATGTTAAAAACTCCCCAGGATAGAATGAATGCCAAGGCCCGATGATTTGTGATGGCTGTTGCGGGGCGAGAGAAAACACATGTCTCTAGTAAAAAAAAGTCTCTCTCTCCCTCTCATTTTCCGTCTTGTAATCCTAGCATTTCTTCCTGCTTTTCCCATCCCATGTCTGCTTTGATCAACAAAAATTAATAATGACGCCAGGACTTGGGTTTCACAGGGGCTTGACATTCCACTGCCCAAGTTGGAGATGAGGGAGAATCAGTATCCTACTGTTGAAAAACAGAATCTGTCAGAAAGGGGAGATATGCAAATATACCAAAAGACAGAGGATTTATTTATCTGTACAAAAGAAGCCAGAAATGTAATTAATGCTTTCCAGATGTTATGTTCCATACATACAACAAAGTGGAAACACAGGGTGAAAAACAGGCAGTGGATGTACACAATCAGTCATATACATTCAGGCAGTCCTTGAGTTATGAATATCAAAGTTATGAACAACACAGTCCTACAAATGAACTGCCATAAAGCCTATTAATTTTTTAAAAATATTGCAGAAAATTGCCATTACCATAGAGAGAGAGAGAGAGAGGGGAAGCAAAAGTGGAGAGAGGGAGGCCTCCAAAGCAGGCCTTCCTGCCCCACCCATCCAGAGAGGGAAATCCCTGCAGAATTTTCCTGGTGAGTTTGCGCAGCATGGAGGCTTAGAGATATTCGTGGTTTTTCCACTCTCCTGTGGGTCCTGTGCCCCTGACCACCGTGAATGTGGAGGACCGATCTTACATGATTTGACTTACATACAAATTTGACTTAAAGACAAATTTTCATTTTCTCATGAAAGGAACTTGTTTATAACCCAGGACTGCCTGTATATACATAAGCATATGCATATACATTTCCTGTCAAGAAAAGTTAAACTTGTATGAGTTTTGAAAGTTGAGTTAACTTGCAATAATTGTCACAAACAGAATAAATGATTCAAAAGAAGCAAACGTATGAAATTTGCATAATATATAAAAGTTACATAATTCAGATTTTCTTAGCACAGAATTTTTGTATTACACTGCCCTGTGTACAGAGATCTTCCAGCCAACAAGGAGAAGAAGGCTGGATTTGGGGTGCATGCATGATCCTGCAACCAGCGGACAAATCTGGACAAAGCTCAGTGTTTGACAGCTCTTCCAAATTTTGCAAACTGTTTGAAGGCTCTTGTCTGGATGCCACAGTTGTAGTTCTAAACGACCACGGTTTGAGTTCTGTAAAGGCAATGCAGCATCTGGCCTTTTAAAATACTGTGTATGAATACAGTAGCTTTTGGTTCAGAGAAAGAAGGAAAGAAAAAAGAAAGGGTTCTTTTACAGCACAGAAGAAAATGTTCTCTTCCTGGAATCAGAAGCACAGAGTGCGCCATTCCTTGGAGGCAGGTTTGTGGCCAAGACGCTGCAAGGCTTACCTGGAATGGTAGGCTTGATGCCAAGGATTGCCAATCATACCCTGAGATATTTGCATCATACTGAGATCGGGTTGGTTCTCAATGAACTTGGCTGGATGCCAGGAGTGTGGTCGGCCCACCGGGTCACTTCGTCTGGAAACAAACAGAAAGGATAAAATTACTGGAGACTGCCACTCACTCAGGTACTCTGACAGGTAGAGCAAGGTTATTATGATTATTACTGAGCATTTATACTGTGCCAACACTGTGGCGCTGTCTAGACGATACACATGTCAAGGGCTGTGCTCCCTGAAGTTTATTGCTCTGCCACCATTCATGGACAGAAGCCACCAAAACCACCCCGCCGAAAAGCAAATTCATCACTGAATTAGGTCGGGTGCAAAGCAAAGCAATGAAAAACTGAGCCCTAAATGTCCCACATGTTGTCAGATTTGGCAACCTTGGCGGTCACAGGTTTCAAAAAAGTTCTGGCTATAACCAGTGATGGGCTGAAGCATTGGCATGGTCAATTTGTGTAAAGAGGGAGGGAGGGAGAGATAGGAAATATAGAAATCATATGCAAATCTATTAAAGCACAATAGAACACAAAAGACATACATAAATGAAGATTCAAATAATGCAACGACATTCAAAATTGGTTACAATACCCATACTGTGTTACTGTAGGCACTCAATGGGAAGTCAGTCTCATACCCCAGTTCATGCAGAAAACTTAAACCAGTGTACTCTATCTACAAACCCCCAGTGGCACTTATATTCTCCTTGTAACTTCTAAATTTTATTTTATTTCTCATTAAAACTCACTTTTAAACCTGGATCCTGGTATCTTGGAAAGGGAACTGTTGCCCCCTAGTGTCATCTTAACTTGGGCTGAAAAGAGCCCGGAGCCCACCTGTGCCCTCTACCTTAATTCTTGAGCAAGTCCCCCCCCCCATGAGTCCTACCAGTTTGCCTTCCATGAAAAGAGTGTTTTGTGGCTGGCCATGCCCACGATGGCAGCCATTTAATCTGAGCACCCACAGTGCTCTCAAAATTCCAAACATTCCCCACACACCCCAAAAAATTGCTTGCAGACTATATAAAAACAGTAACACTGGCTGATTAGTAAGAGCTTTCGTAACAGTTCATACTAGGATACTGGGGGATGGCATCCATCCCAGTCTTCTCCTCTCCCCAGCTATCCAGCACAGCCCTTTGTCCCTCCTTTGAGATTGATTTCCAGCCTCCATGATGGAGCTGGCAGTTCTTTCTGTGCCAACTAAGACGTCAGAGCACCTCAGACCTAGGACTGCAAATAACCCTCTGTACCCACTTCACACCATGTCAGGAAGGCACAGGATCACACCCTTAGACACCTCTGGAGTAAACCTTTCCACTTGTAAGACTGAGGCAGACATCTGGCAACGTGCAAAAAATGACTTGTGCAGTCATTTTTCCCAACAAGACCCTGACTGTTAGCCGAGAAACACTTGTGGTTCAGACGCAGGGATATAAATATTTTGCATAGTAAGCACAGATTCACATTTAATTCAGAAAAGATCGGTCTCGACTATCAGGCATTTGATAAATACTGTCTGATTCTTAAGTGTCATGTGCCCCTTTCAACATCACCAGACTAATGAGATTCTCCCACCTCTCACCACCCCGTTCTATTGACCGAATCCTTATCGATCTGTACTAAAGTTTTTTAAGAAATGAAACTGCACAAATCAGATATCCTAAGTAGGTCCCTTTAAAAATGGGTTCTTTCGTTAACTCCTCTGCCATGTAAATCATGGCACTGAAGCCTGTAGGCTGGGAGGTACTCTGTTTAGTGTATTTTTATCCTTTGTTTTTATGGATTGTGTAAACCTCCCAGAGAACTTCAGCTGTCGGGAGGTATAGAAATGTAATAAATAATAATAACAACAGCCTCGACTTCAGGGAGACCCTCAAGATGTCTCCTCATAGCACACGGCCAGCCTGAGGGATTTACAAGATGCCTTTGTAGTTCTGGTTGAATCAAAACTAAGGACACTTTGATTTCTCGCTTGAGCAAACACTTTGTATGACAGAAATAAAGCACCGTCTCCCTCAAAACCACCAGCCACTGACTGTTAAGAGAACCGCTGTGCCAAGGTTTGTTGGTTTTTTTAAGCTCATAATATTTTAAAACAGCCCCAGGACAAAGCAGTGAGTAAATAATGATGCTGGATCTGAACCAAGAGACAAGAGAAAATAGCTGTGGGGCAAAATCTTAAGTCACATCCATGAATGTTGGTTTCTATGGTTGTGGGATTGAAACTGTGATTCAGAGCCTCCCTCCATGTTGCGAAGATTGGCCCTCTCCTTGTGGTGTGGGAGCTTTTATGAGGAGAGCAGGGAAACCTCGGCTTGTGCATCCGGATCCTACATTTCTGCTTGGAAGCTGAAGGAAAAGGTGCTCAGCTACTTCAGTAAGATGCATGTTAATAAGAGGGTGCATTGTATTTCATCAGTGAAATTGGGGATGGGAAGGCAAATGCGAAAAGATAAGAAAGTAAAAATGGATGATCTCTGATCGTGAGGCCCTTGAGCTGAAGCAAGTTGATGAAAATGTACTTGTTTTAAACAAGTAGGATTAGAATGGACCACAATCCCCCAAATTCATGTTACAGGAAACTGTGGTTTAATCCAAAGTAGAAGTAGCAGCTTTCACTTTCTTTCTCATACAAAGACAGAAGAAAAGCTTGGGAAGTTCACAATCTAGAGGCTCAAAGAGCCGGTGTGGACTGGGACTCGGGCGACCTGCGTTCTAGCCCTCACTCGGCCAAGGAGCCAACTGGGTGACTTTAGGCCACTCACAGACTCTCAGCCCAACCTACCTTGCGGGTTTGGTGTTGTGGGGATAAGATTAAGTCACTTTGAATTCTTTGAAAGGAAAAAGGTGTGATATAAATCTAATAAATAAATATAATTGAGATCGGGGTAGACAATCTGGCATGCCCTCAGATGTTCTGGATGACAACTCTCACAATCTCTGACCATTGGTCACAATGGCTGGGTCCTATGGGAGCTGTACATCTGAAGAGCACAAAGGTGCCTAACCTAGTTTAGATGATAATCCAAACTAGATATTACTGTCAGTATAAATACGGAGAAAACACTGAATGCAAATGGAAATGCAGATTAATCAAAAATGCTCAAGTGCATCACAAATGGAAGTGACAGAAGCACAAATCTTCCCAGGATGACTGTGCTGCATACAGAATAAGCAGGGCTAACTAAATCTGGTTAGTATTACTTCTGCTATTATTCTTATTAAGAAAAGTAGCAAGATAAATGAGCTTACCCATCCTTCAGCACTAAGTGATTAATATACATTTCACTGAAATGGAAGAATACCTCATTTGAAAACAATTTTTAAATTGTGTGTAATGGGTTGACTTTATTTTTGTAAGAGAACATACATTCCTTTGGGGTAAAAAAAATCATAAAAACAGCAGCAAACAATGGGCCAAATTCATCAATACACTGTGTGTGTGTGTGTGTGTGTGTGTGTGTGTGTGTGTGTGTCTCCCCCAAAGTTTTGCCATCCAGGGGCAGGTTTTTAAGCAGTGTGTTGCAGCATGTGGAAAGGGAAGGCTTACCCCTTCCCTTCCCAGCTTTGATCCCTCTTGAAAATTGCCATCCACCCGGCAACTGAGGAGAGAAGAGCTTGTACTGGCAGCCATGGATGCTGGTGGTTCTGTGGGAAAGACCCAGAGCCCTGAGAAGGAGGGATCGTGGTGCCCCTGTCACCTGGCCCAGCCCTCCCACTACCTCCTGCTGTGTCCTTCAACAGTAGGAATAGAAAAGACAGCTTCATTTTCTTGTCTCAGCTGCAGACCCCATCCCAGGCTGACTCCGTGGTTTCTAGCTATCTCCTGCCTCCACTGGAATGCCCACAACAGCCACACAACACAAAGTTTCAGCTATATAAAACACAACCAGTGATGCTTCCGAGTGATGTCACTGAAGATGACACACCATTCAGGCCAAGCAGCATCCAAGGTGCCACTTCCAATCTAGCATAAAGTGAGGAGGGGAACACCTCAGAGACTTCCGGCATATATTTATTTAATGCTATTTATACACCATCTATTAGCAAAGATTCTCTGTGCGGCTAACAACACAAGACAATGGATGCATAAAAAAATAAGGTCATGCCATCTAAATAGAACATAAAATCAGTTGCAGAAGATCATATAAGTAGACTTAATAGCAGCATCAGAGATTTCACAAATCTTAAAACTTTTAAAATGTCTCAAGATATATCTGCGAGAGAACAGTCCTATGTATGATGAAGCAGAAAAGTGTCCTAGAGCTTTGGGACTTGCAGGGAGTTCTGGCACTTTTTTCGGTCTCAACATGCATAGGTTTGCACCCCGAAAGACTGTTAAAATTAAAAGTAAAAAGGCCTGGGAAAACACTGGGCAAAGACTTCAAGTCACAGGTAAGTGGGGAAGGGATAACTCAAGACCATTTTCATGCACAACATTAACCCATCTTTGTTTCTCAGACTGAATTTATTTTATATACGCATAGAGCAGAAAGTGGAAGTGAGCTATTTTAATATTTTTTTTATATTCCAGACAAGTGAAGGCGAGCATGGCCCCTACGTGTGCCGGTATACGATGCTCGGGGTGATGCTGGGGTGACTGGACTTGCGTGCTGACAGAGAGTGCTCTGCATGCCCACAGTGGCACGTCTGCCATAGGTTTGCCACCACGGCCCTGACCCTACCCTGGTGCACTCCCCTAACCTTAATATAAGGGTAAAGTTCCATTGGAAATAATGCAATTTTGAAAAAGCCTTCCCTGAGTAGCTTTTTCTGCACAGCTCATCTTTTCTGCCCATTCTAAACACACTCCAACCATCAAAATCTTACCAGGACACCTTGTTTTTGTAACCCTAACCCTACCCTGGTCAAAATCATGCCAAGACATCTCGTTTGTCCAATCCTAACCCTACCCTGGTGCACACCCCTAACCCTAAGAGGGTGAGAGTTCCATAGAAAGAGGGCGATTTGGAAAAAGCCTTCCTTGAGGAGCTTTCTCTGCACAGCTCATCTTTTCTGTCCATTCTAAACACATTCCAGCCATCAAAATCATGGCAGGACACCTCATTTTTCT